CAGGGAAAGGGGTGGAAAAGATCTTAGGGAGGAAAGGGAGAAGATCTGGGGAAAAAAGGCCAACAGGGAAAGGGGGGAAAAGATCTTAGGAAGGAAAAGGGAGAAGCTCTCAGGGGGGGAAAGGCCTTGGGAGGGAAAGGGGGGAAAGGATCTCAACAGGGAAAGGGTGGGAAAGATCTTAGGGAGGAAAGGGGGGGGAAGATCTTAGGGAGGAAAGGGAGAAGATCTGGGAGAAAAGGACTTAGGGGGGAAAGCCCAACAGGGAAAGGGGGGAAAAGATTTAGGAAGGAAAAGGGAGAAGCTCTCAGGGGGGGGAAAGGCCTTAGGGGGGAAAGGGGGAAAAGGATCTCAGCAGGGAAAGGGGGGGGGGGGAAGATCTTAGGGAGGAAAGGGAGAAGATCTGGGGACAAAGGCCTTAGGGGGGAAAGGGGAGAAATGATCTCAACAGGGAAAGGGGTGGAAAAGATCTTAGGGAGGAAAGGGAGAAGATCTGGGGGAAAAAAGGCCAACAGGGAAAGGGGGGAAAGATCTAAGGAAGGAAAAGGGAGAAGCTCTCAGGGGGGGGGAAAGGCCTGAGGGGGGAAAGGGTGGGAAGGATCTCAACAGGGAAAGGGGGGAAACAATCTTAGGAAGGAAAAGGGAGAAGATCTGGAAAGGCCTTAAAGGGAAGGGGGGAAAGGATCTCAACAGGGAAAGGGGGCAAAGGATCTTAAGGAGGAATAGGAAGAAGATCTCAGCGGGGGGAAAGGCCGTAGGGGGGAAAGGGGGGAAAGGATCTCAACAGGGAAAGGGGGGGAAAGATCTCAGTGAGGAAAGGGAGAAGGTCCCAGGCAGGGAAAAGGCCTTAGGGGGGAAAGGGGGAAAGGATCTCAACAGGGAAAGGGGGCAAAGGATCTTAGGGAGGAAAAGGGAGAAGATCTGAAAAGGCCTTAGGGGGAAAAGGGGGAAAGGAGCTCAACAGGGAAAGGTGGGAGAAGATCCTAGGGAGGAAAAGGGAGAAGATCTCGGGGGGAAAGGGGGAAAGGATCTCAACCAAGGGAAAAGATCTTGGGGAGGACAAGGGAGAAGATCTCAGGGGGGGAAAGGCCTTAGGGGGGAAAGGGGGGAAAGGATCTCAACAGGGAAAGGGGGCAAAGGATCTTAGGGAGGAAAAGGGAGAAGATCGCGGAGGAAAAAAGGCCTTGGAGGGGAAAGGAGGGAAAGGATCTCAACAGGGAGAGGGGGGAAAACATCGTAGGGAGGAAAAGGGAAAAACTCAGAGGGAGAAAGGGTCTTAGGGGGGAAAGGGGGAATGGATCTCAACAGGGAAAAATTGGAAAAAAGATCTTAGGGAGGAAAAGGGAGAAAATCTCAGGGGGGGAAAGGCCTTAGGGGGGAAAGGGGGGAAAAGATCTTAGGGAGGAAAGGGAGAAGATCTGGGGGCAAAGGCCTTAGGGGGGAAAGGGGAGAAATGATCTCAACAGGGAAAGGGGTGGAAAAGATCTTAGGGAGGAAAGGGAGAAGATCTGGGGGAAAAAAGGCCAACAGGGACAGGGGGGAAAGATCTAAGGAAGGAGAAGCTCTCAGGGGGGGAAAGGCCTCAGGGGGAAAGGGTGGGAAGGATCTCAACAGGGAAAGGGGGGAAACAATCTTAGGAAGGAAAGGGGGGGGGGAAGATCTTAGGGAGGAAAGGGAGAAGATCTGGGAGAAAAGGACTTAGGGGGGAAAGCCCAACAGGGAAAGGGGGGAAAAGATCTTAGGAAGGAAAAGGGAGAAGCTCTCAGGGGGGGGAAAGGCCTTGGGAGGGAAAGGGGGGAAAGGATCTCAACAGGGAAAGGGTGGGAAAGATCTTAAGGAGGAAAGGGGGGGGAAGACTAACAGGGAAAGGGGGGAAAAGATCTTCGGAAGGAAAAGGGAGAAGCTCTCAGGGGGGAAGGCCTTAGGGGGGAAAGGGGGAAAAGGATCTCAGCAGGGAAAGGGGGGGGGGGAAAGATCTTAGGGAGGAAAGGGAGAAGATCTGGGGACAAAGGCCTTAGAGGGGAAAGGGGAGAAATGATCTCAACAGGAAAGGGAAAAGATCTTAGGAAGGAAAGGGAGAAGATCTGGGGGAAAAAAGGCCAACAGGGAAAGGGGGGAAAGATCTAAGGAAGGAAAAGGGAGAAGCTCTCAGGGGGGAAAGGGCTTTGGCGGGAAAGGGTGGGAAGGATCTCAACAGGGAAAGGGGGGAAACAATCTTAGGAAGGAAAAGGGAAAAGATCTGGAAAGGCCGTAAAGGGAAGGGGGGAAAGGATCTCAACGGGGAAAGGAGGCAAAGGATCTTAAGGAGGAATAGGGAGAAGATCTCAGCGGGGACAAAGGCCTTAGGGGGGAAAGGGGAGAAATGATCTCAACAGGGAAAGGGGGGGGAAAGATCTCAGTGAGGAAAGGGAGAAGATCCCAGGCAGGGAAAAGGCCTTAGGGGGGAAAGGGGGAAAGGATCTCAACAGGGAAAGGGGGCAAAGGATGTTCGGGAGGAAAAGGGAGAAGATCTGAAAAGGCCTTAGGGGGAAAAGGGGGAAAGGAGCTCAACAGGGAAAGGTGGGAGAGGATCCTAGGGAGGAAAAGGGAGAAGATCTTGGGGGGAAAGGGGGAAAGGATCTCAACCAAGGGAAAAGATCTTGGGGAGGACAAGGGAGAAGATCTCAGGGGGGGAAAGGCCTTAGGGGGGAAAGAGGGGAAAGGACCTCAACAGGGAAAGGGGGCAAAGGATCTTAGGGAGGAAAAGGGAGAAGATCTTGGGGGGGAAAACGCCTTAGGGGGGAAAGGGCGGGAAAGGATCTCAACAAGGAAAGGGGGGAAAAGATCTTAGGAAGGAAAAGGGGGAAGATCGCGGGGGGAAAAAAGGCCTTAGGGGGGAAAGGAGGGAAAGGATCTCAACAGGGAGAGGGGGGAAAACATCGTAGGGAGGAAAAGGGAAAAACTCAGAGGGAGAAAGGGCCTTAGGGGGGAAAGGGGGAATGGATCTCAACAGGGAAAGGTGGCAAAAGATCTTAGGGAGGAAAAGGGAGAAGATCTCAGGGGGGGAAAGGCCTTAGGGGGGAAAGGGGGGAAAGGATCTGAGCAGGGAAAGGGGGGGAAAGATCTTAGGGAGGAAAGGGAGAAGATCTGGGGGCAAAGGCCGTAGGGGGGAAAGGGGAGAAATGATCTCAACAGGGAAAGGGGTGGAAAAGATCTTAGGGAGGAAAGGGAGAAGATCTGGGGGAAAAAAGGCCAACAGGGAAAGGGGGGAAAGATCTAAGGAAGGAAAAGGGAGAAGCTCTCAGGGGGGAAAGGCCTGAGGGGGGAACGGGTGGGAAGGATCTCAACAGGGAAAGGGGGGAAACAATCTTAGGAAGGAAAAGGATCTTAAGGAGGAATATGGAGAAGATCTCAGCGGGGGAAAGGCCGTAGGGGGGAAAGGGGGGAAAGGATCTCAACAGGGAAAGGGGGGGAAAGATCTCAGGGAGGAAAGGAAACAGATCCCAGGGAGGAAAAGGCCGTAGGGGGGAAAGTGGGGGAAAGGGAGGAAAAGGGAGAAGATCTCAGGGGGGAAAAGGCCTTAAGGGGGAAAGGGGGGAAAGGATCTCAACAGGGAGAGGGGGGAAAACATCTTAGGGAGGAAAAGGGAAAAAATCAGAGGGAGAAAAGGCCTTAGGGCGGAAAGGGGGAATGGATCTCAACAAAGAAAGGGGGGCAAAAATCTCAGAGGGGAAGGGGGCAAGGGGACAATTCCAAAGGGACGCAAATAAGAAAGCAGGCCTGTAATGTCGGCGGCCTGAGCCGGAGGCGTTAAAATAGAGTGAACTGGCGTGGCCTGGCTAACATGCAGCAGTTGCACTGTTCTCCAATCACGCAAATCACAAAACAAGCAACATTTATTGTATCTATACATACATATATACATTTTATTCTCATTCACTGGAAGATTACTTTGACGAGTAAAGCATACCCTTCTCCAAGTGAGTCCACTATTACCCCTTGCTTCTACTGCACTAAGTAGTTGTTCATGCAATCTCTACGGGCCAACCATGGACGATTACCAACCGGGAACCAACTCGCAACAGACCATCTCAGTCTCTGCAGGTCACAAGCTGATCATCGGCCGCCAAGGAAAAGCGGCCCGAGCTCTGTTTGGGTCATGCAATGCTAAGCTGAGCTGGTGTCACTAACACCGGCTGTGCGCGCGGATGCCTCCATTTGCCAATGCTCAAAGGCTCGTACACTCAACTGGTTAATTCACAATGGAGGTCTGACGGGTCAAGTCTGCGGAGGGCATAGCTTCAGCTGCCATGGGCAATTGCAAAGGCCTCATACTTGGATGCCTGACAATACGATCACAAGAAACTGAAAGCCGTATCTGCAGATTTAGCGGCAACCCCTAGACTACACTGGTACGTCATCTGGTCCGCTTACGTGCTAGTATCTGGCTGTGCCTGCAGCCGCAATCATTAACCAATCAACCTTAAAGTTAAGTCAAGCTCCGTAGGACCATCTCGCGTGATGAGTTCCGAGCCAACGGCGGAGCAATGCTTTCGCAACTCAGCCCGGAAGTATTCATGGATCTGGGCCAAGTGGCCAGCACAAATTTAGAGCTTGGGGATCTTTGAAGCAACAAGATGGTAGGTGACCTGCTAAAGATGCAGGTATCTGTCACCACGGGGCTCCGGCTTGAGCTTTTGAAACCGACATTTTGAGAGCCGCGTGTTCCATGGTTGTGTTCTTTTACCACTTCCGTTTCGGGGTTAAAGAACAGTGGCAGTTTTCGATCGACGCGCCCCGGACTTGTGTCCACCCTATGCCTTGCATTCTAAGCGCCATTACTTCCCGGTCTGGAGGCTTCCGAAACCCATCTAGAATCCTGGCAGGGGATGGGTGGGAGAGAGTGACCATTCATTAGAGTTCCCATTCTAGTTTCCCATTCTTTGCCATCATAGACCTGCAGAAATGCCATCGTTTCCCATCATTTCCCGTCCGATTTGGATTTTAAGCCAAAAGGCTGTTCTCCGACCGAAGGGACCCACATGTGAGTGGCAGGAAGAGCGTCCGCGGCGAGCCACGCTCACAAAAGGCGGGGCAGCCGCCCCAATCAAATAGCCTGGGACACAGCGCGTGCGGCGTGCATCGTCTCCCCATCTGTCGTCTCAAAGGGGGACCCATACCCCGCAAGATGGCTGGCTTCAATTTCAACGTCCTTGTTTTCAGCATGTCATGTCCTGTCATGTACCCTTGTTTCAAGCTGGGTTGGGACTTTTGACATTGCTACAACCTCGGGCTTTCACAGTGCGGTGACTGGGATCCGTCACGCAGATTTCAAATTTGTGGGGCTAGTTTTGAGTCATCTGTTCGTCATGTATCCGCAAGATGTGCATGTTTGACATGGCACAGTACAAAATACAATTAAACTATTACCAAAGTAAAATACACTCTACATCTGCCTGGCAATCGACAAAGCACTGTTCTAGCAATCATGCCTCTTGCACGTCCCTTTGACATAGCCGAAATACTCGATAAACATTAGCAGCCAAGACGCGATACTTGAAATGGCTTACAAGGAAACAATGGGCACCCCCAATCTTGGCTTTCTCATATGACTGTACAGCAACAGTACGATGGTGGAACTAGCCTCTAATGACCCTTACCCAAACGGCTGGCGACATTGCAGAGACTGTCATACCTGGCAAGGCCAGATTCAAACTGCTGGCAAAGGTGATCTTTTTATCTTGGCCAGATTACATCCTTGCATTCCGACACTTCTGTCGCGCCGCATTCAACACGACATGCTGTCCCACACTCTCTGGCCTACAAGAGTGTGAACGGCAAAAAACCATGCCAACAGCAGCACTTATGGAACAACACAGCAGCGCGAAAAAAGGTAGCCGCATGTGCAGCAATCAAACAAGCCAGCCAACCGAAGCACACGACCAGTTTCAGCACCCCCGCACGCATCGCCTGAGATGACACGCCCTCACAAAATCGCTCTCAGGTCCCCGGCACGCAGGAGCATGAGCTTAGGAGAGCAAGCTTTGGACGAGTTGCTTCACCTTGCGTGAAGCGGACTTGGAACTGGGCAGAAAAAAGACGCAGAAACAGTTATGAAATGTGGGGGTGCCGTGCGAGCTGTGAGATTCTTCGGACCTGATAAAAAATTGTCGAACCTCCGGACTTCCGGGGGTATTAAACTGACACTGTCTCATGCCCGCCTAGGGCAGAGCAGGCCTGTGGGTCATCCCATGTCATTCCCAGTAACTTGCTCTAAACAGGCCGAAGAATGGACTCCCATCGACTGCCATGCGCACAGGGCTTCCGACAAGGACAAACAAACAGTTCTTTTGCTTTGCTGGTGCTACTTTTGCCAAATCCGACTCAGGTTGAGGATCACGGAGGTGCGAGTCTCCGCCTTTTGTGTTCTTGTGCCCAACAATCGAAGGCCTGTTTCCATTTTGTGACATGTGCAAACCACATCAAAGCGCCATCTCTCACTTTGCTGCTTAGATGTCCCTTCCCCCAGGCCCTCTAGGCCCTCTGGACCATGGGTTTGGCGCTTGCCAGCTCTGAGAGTCAGACACGAGCGACTCTTTCGGTGCCCAACTTCCAAAAATGCCCAACCGCTGGGAGGCTCTTCGGGTCAGATGAGCCCGTGCCTCCTCTACATCCACGTGCATGGAGATGACAGCCTTGTCCTCCGTCATCGGGTCCTGTTGCAACACCGCGCAAGCCCACAGAGATCGATCCATTCCACCAGGGACCCCTCCATGGGGGGGAAAGGGACGCAGGCTGTCTTGCCACATTTTTTAGGAATGGCACAATGGTTGGCTGGACTCGGCGTGGATCCATTCACCAGTAGATTGTGGCTCTCCAATGGATTTCCACCGATCATTGAATACACAAACAAGAAGCCAGCATGACCATTGGCAATCCACCAAAAACTACCCGCCACGTACGTTCCCCAGCGTGGAGGCAACAGGGCAGCAAGTCCAACCCGTCTTCGGTGCCAAGCCGTGAATCACTTCAGCAGGCTCTAAACTGTTGACTCTACAAACCTGGCTGGGAGGGTCATGTAGGCCATCACCAGTCCCCAAGCCATGGACCCCTTCAGAAGACACGTGAACCGCGGGGTTCAAATTACACATCACATACATGAAATAGCAAATCTCCGCGCAAAGACCTGCTGCGGTGGCAAGCAACAAAATTCAACTGCTGGACTGGAGAACTGACGCCCCCACTTGCTGCAAGAAACTAGCATCCGCTGCACGAGTAAGACGCCCAGCGGCCCAGCCCTTGCCACCCACCCTTGCCACCCGCCCCCTCCAAAGCCAGCTGATGGTCATACTCGTTGGGCATCACCTGACCGAGAAAACCCCGGAGCCAAGACTGAAAGCTTGCAGGTTGCAGGGACCAGCTCACCCAAAAAAAAGGAAAAAGAAACAGCAACCAAACACACACACGCACACACACACACACAGCCGAGCCCAGAAGTCGACAGGTTGACGGAGTCACCGCAAGAACACGAAGCAGATTTTCGCTTCTCCAACAACAATAGGCTATAAAGTCAAACGGATGCTCAAAGCAACCCGAGCCTGACCAAAGACAGAACCACTGGACGTGAAGCTATCGCTCAGTCAAAAAACAACTTACAAACAAAGTGGACGTTCGCCAATGAGGCACAGCCTTTGCATCTGGGCTTCTTGAAACAACAAACCGTCGGCCCGTCGGACGCTAGCAGCATGAGCAGATCCTCAGTGGCTCCTTGCCCCACATGTCCGTCTCGGACATGTATCATCTTCGGGGGAATACAAGGAACTCTAGGCGCAAAACAAGTTGGCCAATTGACGCGCCAGATCTCTTCAGTTAGCAAGTGTGGCACTTGCCCAAAAAAGCAACACTCAACACCCAGTCTTTTTCCTGTTGCTTGCCATTTCTGAGACGAAGCAAACTCATTTTAACAACTAGTCGCGTGTAAATCAGGCCGGGCTCAAGCTTGCCTCATGCCGCAACCTTGCACTCCAACTCCGTCCCAACCAAACAGCGACGAGAAAAGCCAATCATCTGGGGTTGAGCCCAGATTCCCCAAAGCAGTCCCACATGTGCCATGGTCAACAACTTTTGATGATTCTCAAGATCATGGTTGCCTCAATAGGAAGCCTATGGTTGCTTGAAATCCCCGTGGTTCATCCCCATTCCAAAGCTCCAAGCAACCAGGTTTGACCTCATCTTTGACCTCTGAAATAACTCTCCGCCTCCCCCCCCCCCCCCTTCCCCCGACTTTTCCCATTTTCCCCAACTTCCCCCCCCCCCCCCTCGATTCTTCCAATTTTTTCCAATCCCAACTTTCGCCTTGTCCCCAATGGGCATGTAGGTGAAGTTCAGAGCCGCAGCCAGGTCCCAGAAGTGGTAGTCCTGCATCTTGAAGGGCACCTGACGTCGCTTTTTTTTTTTTCCGTTTTGGAGGCCGGGCTCAGGTGCAGAGCTGCCCGTTCTCAGGTGCCCTGAAAGTGAGTTTAACGGTTAGTGGGTGAAATGAACGACAACTAAACAACTAAACAACTAAACCCACTAAAAACAGCAACACACAACTAAACCATGTACTAAACCAACTAAAAACAACTAAACACAACTAAACCATTTTCTAAACCAACTCAAAACACCTAAAAACAACTTGTACTGAACCAACTAAACACAACTAACAACCTAAGGGGCCTTTGGGCACAAACTCTTTCTTGGCTCTCCCAAGCTGCCAGCCCTCGGAATGACCCCATGGCTTCCCTATATTTCCCCTTGAAACATCACCCCCAAGGGACACTCACCTTTCATGGGCCAAAAGCTGATGTTTCAACCCACCGGAAAAGGGACATATAGGGACCCCTGCGATTGCAACATCAAAAGTTGAGACCAGAGCCTCAGCCAGAATCTGTTGCCTGAATTGAGATGAACATGGGAAAGGAGGCAAGGGAACTCCGTCCCCGTCTTTCTGAATGGGCGTTTCGGTGGCCGTACCCCAAAATCCCCATACCCAATTCTCGAATCCTTGAAACTTCTTCGGTTTGACGATTCAAACTCTGGCCTCCGGGTCCGCTACGAACCAATCACACACCTCAAGCTGCAAGAGGCCAGGAAGCAATCAACCGCTTCCACGGCACCCTGCGACGTACACTACGCAGATTCCAGCAAGCTCCAAGTTGCTACTTACAGCATGTAAGGCAAAAATTCACAGATCTCTCTCTCTTGGTGGCTGAGGTAAAACCTGCCCTTTGGCCCTTCGGACCCATCCATCTGGCGTCTTTGGCTGTGAAATCGTTTTATCTGAACTCGCTTGCTGGTTCTCAACAAGGAATGAGAAGTCGCATGACCCTTTAAAAACCATCCAACTGATGACTGGGAAGGTCATTCCCTACCTATCGCACACAGCCAGTGGTTTTTTTCCATTTGGAGCTTCGCAGCTTTCTGGGCCTTCAGAAACTGGCTGGTTTAAGGGGACCCCCATATGGGTGTGGGTCAAAATTACAACAGGAGGGGCAAACTGCAGGTTTTGGTACCCATGTTTCCACTTTCCAGGGCAACCCATGTTGGAATTCCGGTTTTTTGGAGCCACAGCCATATTCATGCCCTCATTCCCTGTGCACCAGCAAGGAAACCGAAACCGAAACCCCTTTGGCCTGCGGCACGATCTCCACCACCTTCATGCCGTCCGGGGCGAAGAGCATGTTGGCCATGTTGGCACCATGGGCGCCCACTAAGACCTGCGGTGTCCCATGGCAACATTGATGCACCAAAAGAAGCAAAGAACATGGGGACTGTCGTTTCCCAGCTTTTTGGGCACCTACTGAACCATGGGCCTGACCTTTGAATGAACCATTGGATATTGCGATGGCCCCAGCCCGCCCGCTGAAAGAGGCTACAAAGAGAAACTCCACTGTCAGAAAACCCTCCTTGCCTTCAGGTGGAGAAACCCCCTGTCATCCCGGAAGCCATGCCCATGAAACCGCAAATTCGTTGGCGAAAGAACCCAATTTGCACGAAGCGTCAACATTTGCGTCTTCGATTGCTCCGGTCCTCGGCGCGTGAGAGCGACTGGAGCGTGTGCAGGAAGTTCTCCGGGTCCGGTGTGACTACCTGATGCGCAGGCGGTCGAAAGGGAAGCTTTGGGCCGTGGTAAAGGGAAATGAACAAACGGCACTTGCCTCATGCTGTAAAAAGCAGCAAAGGGATCTGTGATATCAAACAAGGTGCCTCCAATAGTTGGCTTTATGCTGGTGACCCGGTCGACAAGTGTTTATGTTTTGATGAGCATCCTAAACGTGGCCCCACTTTCACATAATCACATTGCCCAACCATTGCCTTTTCTGAGCCTCAAGATGTCATCCATCAACCTTTGTTTTGGAACACATTTTCCACATGCGCAGAAAGTGTATTTCTTCTAACCCCCATGCATACACACAGTCAACACTAACTGCCGCTGAACCGCCCGGCGCTTTCATGTCACGTGTTTCTAGCGGCATGACGGGGCTTCAGGGCGCATTGAGGCCTACCGAGGGCCATCGAATGATCAAGGACAAGCACTTGGCAGCCGCACTCGCCCAGAAATCAAATGCCAGTTGCTTCAAACATGCTAAGTGCCTGTCCGGTGGCACACATACCAGCAGCATACCTCCTTTACTCCACACGGCTTGTTCAGAATCGTTCGGAAAGTGGGCTGCGCACATGTTAAGAACCCACAGGGTGCCCTTTGATCGCAAAGGGCGAAACACCTCAACTGCCTCTGTTTGATACAAAATCTACAGCAAACGACTCATACCACATCAGGACAACCATCTGACAGGGCATCCCCATTGTCTTGGGAAGGACCTTAGGGCGGACTGGACTCTAGACCGGGCCATCCTGCCGCCAGCATCCAACCCTTCATTCCCTACCAAACTTCGGATCCATTCCCAAGAGACGCCTTTGGGTTCAGTTTAGCTTCGGAACTTCGCCCAAAGCGGTCCAGCCTCCACAGGTCGGCCCAGGGCCTTCAAGGCCTCCGTGCACGTGGGTGCATGGTGTTGGTTCAAAAACAAACAAAAACCAACAAGCAAGCAAGCAGGCAAGTGAATAACCAAAGAAAGCAGGAACACGACAATACCGACAACAAAGCAAGCACACAAACAAACGAATGAAAGCACAAACAAACAAAAGCACACAACCACACAAATACATAAACAAAGACACGAAACAACAAAGCAACATACCACGTGCAGCTGCCCCGACCCGGTCAGAGGCCACTGCCATTGACCCTGACTCGAGAGTAGCCCCATTGAGCCACGAGTTTTCGAGATCCCGGGCTTCGGAGGCCATGCCGGGGGCTTGGGCTTCGCAGAGCGAGGCCAAAGACGACACAGGGCTGACGTGGCTGGCGGCTCGGCCTCGGCGACGGCTGCCTGAGCGCCGTTGAACCGCTTTGATGGACGGGATGGAAGCATGAAGGTGACACACGAGCTGTTCGGGCACGCTGACGCGGGGCGGCCGTGCGAGGCTGCGCCGGAAAAGGCTGCAGAAGGGGCCATGATGACCACGTATGTAGGGCGGGCATGCCAGTTTCATGCACGTGCACCATCAACAAAGGCATGTTTCACGCTCTCCTGTTTAGTTTTTGCGTTCTCGGACTGACCTTGTTTTTGACCAGTCAAGCGGCAGCATCTGAGCCGGAGCTAGAACTTGAAGAGCTAGCGGAGAGATACGTGCAGAGATGCTTTGCCCATGGATTCGGCAACCCCGTAGGCAAGCTCCCGGAATTTCGCAGAGTCTGCCTGTGTCTTGGCTGCAGGCGCAAAGCTCTGACGCTTTCGGATGGAGAAAGCTTGAGCCTCAGGACGGACATGGCTGGGCCTTGGACCGTGGTGGCTTTGCGGTCGGAAGGTACCATACTTATCAGTGACATTGCAGCGTTGAGAAATACCACTGTGAACTATCTGCTTCAATTTCTTGAAACCAAAGACTAGCTTGTTCCCCTTTGGTCGTCATCTCCAACTTTTCTCGCATGTTGACCAGGTTCTCCAGCAGAGAGCTTAGAATAAGGCTACCCCTTTTTTCTGTAGTCTATTTTGGTAGGGGAACCCTCCCCCAAAAAAGGGGTAAGAAAGGGCACGTAGCTGGGGGACCTAGTTGAACAACTTGCATTCGAAGCTAAGACTGAGCCATGCGAAGCGAGAGAGCGAGAACGATTGCGGCCCCTGCCAGCACCATCTCGTCCTCGTTGCCCAGGGCGCGAGCGCTGTGCCCTCTAGAGAGCACCTCGGGAAGGGAAAAGAGGAAAAGGGCACCCGGTGATCTGAATGATACCTCAGTGGCCTGAATGGCAAATGGATATGAAAAATAATATGGCAAGATTCGCATTTGCTCACGAAGCAAGAATCATGGCCGCCGGAGGGGGGAGGAGGGCTATCCCTGGAGAAGCCGAGGATGAGTCAAGGAAAAGCCCTCACCTTATTAAGGATTTAACAAGTGATAACTCGCGTCCAAACAGGTCCATGAAATGTGCAGAACTGCTTTACTTTTCGGTAAGTGCCGAATGACCTCAACCCAGAGGTGGTATGGGGCACAGGAAGAGAGCACGTCTGCCGCATAAAGTTTCACGCAACTCAGATCGACTCTTCCTGCCTTCACTTTTGAGCGGCAAAGCCTGAAGGTCTGAGTTCAGGTGCCCATTCAACAAAAGCTCCGCATCAGTTCTGGGAGTTGCACTCCATGAATCGACCAGGTAGTCTTTGGGTCAGCACTCAAGCTCGCCTCAGCTCAGCGACTTGGCACCCGGCCACAATGTGCCCTTGCCGCTTCAGGTGGCATGGCCTGATGAGAGCTCCAGGATTGGGAGGCCCTCAACCAAAGATCTTTGTGCTGGGCGGCCCTAAAAGCTCCTAGCGAATGCTACACTGTACGTGCATGTTGCCGGGTGCGAGCTTGGACCCCTTATAACCCTTATAACTCGATGTTTGAGCCCATTCAAGGCCCAGGGAGGCCAAAAACATAAACGCTACATTCATCCTTGAATTCCATTGCATTCTTAACAGCGGGCGGCCGAGCGGCCGGTTTGCTTCCGAATGAACTTGGTCAGGGGGTTTGAGTCATGCGGGGTTCAAAGAGATGGCAGGGAAACCCTACCAGACTCAATTTCAAAATGCACTTTGGTTAGTTGTTAGTTTGTAAAAAAGAATCCAAGATACCCGATAGCTGTCACACAAGTGGGAATCGACCCCCGATGATTCTAATGAGCGGCTTCCGTTTGCTGAACGTCAGGTTCCCACCTGCCGGACTCTTCGAGCCCGTCGTCTGTGGCCAAGATGTTCCGCCGGAACTCTGCCAGATACGGCACCTCGATCGGGCGCTGCCCCACTTGAGATTAGCCTCAAAAAATGCAGTGGTGGGAGGGGGGGTTGAGAAAATAGAAAAGCGAATCATATCTTAAACATACAACAGGTGAGGTAGCATGTAAAATGAAAGGAGATTGCGAGAGCAACAGTTTTTGCCAATTCCTGGACAAGATCTCCTTGGAAGGATTTTTGCAGGATCTGTGGATAGGGTCTCTTATAGGATCTCTAGTCAGGATCTGTGCGCAAGATCTCGGGGTGAACCCTCTACAAGCTCTCTGTCCAGGATCTGTATAGCAAAGAGCGTCCTCTACAAGATGTCTTGACAGGGAACCTTGGCAGGTCCTGCGCGAGAGCTGTTAGGGAGCCTGCTCTAGATCTCTTGCGTGGAAAGCCTTGGTCCTGGGCAAGACCTCTTGGGAGGAACTCTAGACGGGCAGTGCAAGATATCTTTGGTCTTTACAAGATCTCTGTGCGCAACATCTCTTGAACGATCTCTTGGCAAAATCTGTGCGCATGACCCCTGGTCAGGATCTCCTGGTAGGACCTCTTGGCAAGATTTGCGCACAGAGTCTTTGAGAGGGTCTGCGCGAGGCGTCCTGACAGGATCCTCTCTACGAAGGACCAGCGCAAAATATCTATGGGAGGCTCTTTGCAGAACCTTTGCCGGATCTCTGCGGCAAGATGTCTGGGTAGGGTCGCTTTGCAAGATGTGTGCAGGATTGAACAGAGAAGTTGTAGCGAGCATCCTCTACAGGATAATTTGGAGGAATATCTTTCCAGGTCCTGCGCAAGAGCTCTTTGAAGCATCCCTATGAAGGGCCAGCGCAAGATATCTTTGGGCGAATTTCTGCAGGATCTCTGCCAGATCTCTTGGTAGAAGATCTGTGTGTAGGATCTCTGGATAGGATCTCTTGATAGAACCTCTTGGCAAGAGGATCCATGACAGGATCCTCAAGAGAATTTTTGCAGCTCCTGCGCTTCGAAGTCTGTAACTTGCACCGCGCCGCAACAAGAGCGATCCGACCCCCCCGAACGTCCGCAGAGGGTTCACTTTCGATGCAACAAATCGCACCGTGCTACAGGCAGCGCGATCCGACCCGCCCAAAGTGCGCAAAGGGTCACTTGCGACGCTCAAGACTCCCGCGCGCCGCAGCCAGAACGATCTAACCCGCCCAAAGTCCGCAGGGCGTTCGCTTTCGATGTCAAGAAGCCGCACCGTGCCACAGCGGGAGCGATCCAAGAGGCTCCGCTGATCAACCGTTCTCGGAATTCGCACGGCGCCACAGCGCCCTCGAAAGACACGGTAACCCGGCCAACCACTTTGTGCGAGCTTGCGCAGCCGACATGCGCTTCAAGATTCTACAAAGTCATGATTCTACATAAATACCACAAAAATCGTCCAGCCCAGAGCGAGCACCCTAAACTAACACCGGCACTTTACTCTTGCCGCAAGAACCCCTTCGCGTTGACACACTGTTTGGGAACTTCCCATGTTTTCCCACTACCATGATCTTCCGAAAGGGTTTGAAGCCCAGCTCTGCCAAGCAAAGTGCGCACAGACGCTGCGCGGTTGCAAACTCCCGCGTCATTTTGACCATCCACAATGGTCTGAGCGTTTGAACCACTTCATGCTAGTAGTCAGAATACATTGTTGTTGGCTGCATGAACGAGCTACCCATGATTCAGCATATTACGCTTGGAGAAACTAGGTGCCAATCCCTTCAATTGTTTGTCGCTGTTAGCAAAACAAGTACACAAGTCTCAAGTGGCTCAACAGCGGACTGCAAACTCTTCGACATATGATCTAGTTGACAGCTACCGCCGTCTGGCTGCACAACCGACGGGACTGCAATATCAGCTGGTCAAATGTTCCTTTCATGCCCCAAATGGACATACCACGGCTACGCGCCTTATATTGGGATGTTTTTGGGGGCCTGTATAGTATAGCCCATGCGAAAGCCACTAATTTTAGGGTGTGCAACTTGGCCCTTGCTATGACTCCCTCAACCATGGTGTTAGTGTCCAAATGACCATGACCATGTGGAAAACGTGGCTCTCCTCTGCGGGAAAAGCATGGCTCCGCCCGGACTCCGGCACCGACGCGCTACCTTTCCTCTGGTTTCCATTGTGCGGGCAATCCCGAGATCACGGTGCCAGGGTCACCCAAGTCAGAAGCAAGCGACATCTTTCAACAGCCCCTAGGTCCTCCAGTAGAGAGGTTAGAATAAGGCTACCAACTTTTTTCTGTAGTCTATCTTAGTAGGGGAACCCTCCTAACCAACAAAGGGGCGAGAAAGGGCACCTAGCTGCAGGACCCGAAACAGAAGCGACGCTGGGGCCCGCGCTGAGAACTCGAAGCGGGGATACTGCGGCCTGGCTTGGTGCAAAGGCGCCGTGACTGGCTCAAGGACGCAGGGTGAAAACGAGAGGCCTCGCATGGCCGGCGTGCTGCGGGCTTTTGGTTTTTGGCTCTCGCCAAATGGCTGGCATGGTTCGGGCCTTTTGGTTCCAAGCTGTCAAGCAGCAGGTTTCGAGGTGCAGGCTGCCTCGAAATCAAAGGGAGGCCCGAGGAAGAAGCCAAGAATCTGAAAGGGTCTGAACTGGTCAGGATGGAAGAGGGAAAAGAATTGGGCAGCTTCTGACAGAGGCGGTCAAGACTGGGTCTAGCAAGCACAAGGAAACCAAAAAGAACTCACGTCTGAGCCTGACCACATACTTTCTTCAAATGTAGCTAGCCTCCAGTCGTGTTCATGACTTCAGGCTTCAGTTTGAGAAAAGTCAGAATCACCAAGCCGCTATGATCTCATATAACTTGCCTTTCGGGATGCCACTCACTCGCTCTCTTGGTTGACCAAGTAGTTGAAACAGGTTGGCCCTGTAGAAACATGGAGGCAAGTCTTTGCTGATCTGGGAGTTGCCAAATACACGGCCACCGCTGGACACCAAAGGATCATTGCATCAACTATGAAGAGGGCAGGGCTTTACCGTTTGACAATGAAGTGCCTCTCAATGGAATTTGAACCCCCTTTTTGAGGTTCCCTACTTTTCCCAAAAGACATGGCACCCCTCCGCGCTGCATTAGCTGAGCATGCAAGCAGCGCGAAAAGCCCTCATTGCAACAAGTTGAATGCTTGGGCAGTCCATCGAGCTGGTGGCTGGCAACTTCAGCTTCAGGACCCAACGAACACCATCCGTGGACCGTTGACGAAAAGGATTTCTGCTCACCGGACAACGCCAGAACTCAGTTCTTGTCCCGAGGACTTGGGTGACAGCTGCCGAGGGCTGCCTTGGTCTTGACGTATGGGCAATGGTTCAAATAAGTCGGACCCATGGCTATCTCTTGGCATCCCATCAATTGCAGCGGGATGGAGTAATAGTGATGCATCCAGACAATTTATATTATCTGCTCTTCACCCATAGCCAATTCATTGAGATTGCGTTCAAAGTGCGACTGGGCATTCACAAGAAGCATTCAAGGAATTTCCTGAAATGGACAACCTCTAAACATGCTTTTGCTCCTTTCAGTTTCCTTTGAGATACCATGCAAAAGAGGGTCCTCCCATTGAAGGAACCCCCATGCAGGACATCTCCAACACCTTGTGGAGAGATCGAAGTGGATCTCCGGCGCGCAGAAGTGAAAGGCCTCTGCCGATGTCTCCGGAAAAAAAAGAAACAAAGCATACATCATCACACATGTTGCCGGGTCTGCTCTGTTCTCCCTCCACTTGCAGGGATCAACCGATCAAATCAAAACAGCTGCAAGAGCACTCCAAAGAATGCTTGGCTTGTATATGTTAGGTGAGTTGGGAGGTCCAGTCATGCCCGTGAACAAGACGCTGGCTCCAGATGCCAGATGCCGGGATGGATTGTGCAAAGCCGGACCAAAGACTGCAAGCGAGTCTTCCGAAGCTCCAAGCGAACATATCAATTGCACATGGCACGTTCAAATTTCATAGCAGCCAATAGGTTGTAGACCGAAATTCAAGCTCCATATCAAATGGTGGCAATGCCAACGCATTGATTCAGGCGGGGAATGGGCTTTCTATGAAAGGTTTCGACAGCGGCAAGGCAATGATGAGGCAGTGACCCGTGGGTCGGCGACCAGACCACTTCAGCGGGGTGGAAATGAGCTGAAAGTTGTTCGAGAGGTTCATGCAAAAGCCGGAAAAGGACACATATGGCACATGAGAACACGCGATGAACATGTCCACGCGCATGTGTCATACCAGTTGGCAACACACACACACACATTGCACACTCCAAAGAAACAACACGACAATCACATATCATAATGTACAACATGCATTTGGGCGTTTTTCTAACCTGAGGAAATCCTAAACGGCTATACGAGTATTGGGATATGTCAAATCTCGCAACTGGCAACCGCTTTTTGATGGTGCGCTTTTTAACAAACTTGCGAAGGAACCAAGCGACTTGCTCGAGCCCTCGAGCCTGCTTCAGCGGCGGGTCTGAGGGGGGCCGCAACACGTTGGTCTCCACACCCAGCACTGACCTCGGAGGATTTCACAAAATCCGTTCGAAGGCACCACTTTCTCAGTTGTTCAGTGACCCTGGAACAAAAAGGGAACCCTTTTTTGGGAAGACCATTTTAGTGGAGCAGCCACCAAAAAGAAAGGGAAAAAGGGAGCCACTGAACAATTGAGCTTTGAAGCCATTGGAAACCGTAACGCTTGTTGGTCTTTTTAGAGGGGAGTCAGAAATTTAGGGCGCTTTCGGTGGTACGACATGGATTTTGTCCATCGTTCAAACGTTGCTGTCAAACTGCCTTTTGCAAATCTGGTGGCTTCTTGCAAACAACGGCGCTCCTGAAAAACCCGCCCAACATGCCACCTGGTTGGGTAAATCGTTTTTCAGGTTCCAAGAAGGATGGAAACCGGCAAATGCACCTAGGCGAAAGCGGCTCAAACCAATGAGACAAACCGACTGGACACATCTTCAGGGAGTTCCGATTGCTGGTTTTTTGCTTGGCATCGCTACTCCTTTTGCAATCCCCAAAGCTGGGAAAATCCACTCAAGTTCTTGCCAAATGGACGGTTGAGTGGTACATAGCATCAACAAGGCAAGTCAGACTGGCCCATTGAACAGCAAGGGGAAGGGGGCCAGATAAGACACGCATCGTGGACATACAATGGATGGACGAAATCCATTTCGCACCACCCAAGCAACCGTGGAATGATTCGACTCCCCTGTAAATACCAACAAACATTAGGCTTCAACCATGGTTTCAAACTGGTGCCTAAGAGGATTTCGCAGCCTTCCGCAGTATTGCCCTCGGCTTCGCTGCGCGCTTGAGGTTCACGGCGCTGAGCTAGTGGCAGGATCTGACCCACGAAGTGGTGCCCGGCATGCACGAACAACTGGCGGGGGTTGCAAGGCAGTCGTGGGCATGGTGGCTTTAACTGTGATCGGCCTCTTTTGACTGGTTTTGGCCAAAAGGCTTTCCCAGGACCCAATAGTTACTGGTTGGCACCCTTCAAAGTTGCGTTCTTTGAACTTTCACAAAAGGACCGTTCATGGATAGTCATGACCGCAAACAACATGGAGCCATTTGTGAGTGACTTGTCGCTTGCTTTCTTCGGGGGAAATCATACTTTTTGATTGCGAGTCTATAGTCGATGTGCAAAAGACACTGGATCAAACTCAATGATCCACATGAGCAATCCTGTGCATTCAAGCCAAACAATCCTTGGAGCCGTTTGGTTGCCCCAGACATCCTCTCAAATGAACGTGCGGAACTGGGGAGCTTGCCCGCCTGCATGGTGCCATTGCGGAGTCTGTCCAAGCGCGGAGCAATGGAGGGCAGCGCGCTGATGAGCATGTGGTAGACACCATACCTGGCTGGAAATTCTTCTGATGGGACCCGATGGCAAATGAGAGCAACAGGGATGCTTGAAATGGAAACCAAAGGTCAGGTGGGTGTTTCCTAGACTAGACCTCGAAAGGGTTGGGGGGTTTCAAGTGTTTTCCTTCAACAGCCACTTAGTAAGCATCCACCTCCCGAGGGCGCCGAAGAAAATCGCCACGATGGAACCGAGGTGGGTGGGTGGGGGCACATTGATTCACAACGTCTGAAGCTTCAAACAAGAGCAATACGGCACTCCCACTCTCCAAATGGAACCTAAGAATTGAATATGCAGCATCATATGCAGAGCTATCTCCAACATTGCTTCTTTAATTGAACACAACACTCCTTCCGCGCAGAAGATGTGTGAGATCAAGAGAGGATCACCTGCTGGTTTGAGCAGTTCTCAACACTATGAGCTTGATGGCTCATGACAATTCCCTCATCCTACCCCTTAGCGATGAGCAAGGGCAATGAATCACCTCCTGCTCACATTGCTTGAGAAGTGGGCCACCACTCGCCCGGTCAAGTCTGGGCTTCCCAGCCAAACATCGAAGGTGAGGTGCAGAATGGGGAACTCCTCAGTGGCAGGGCCCATGGAAACAGGCCAAGACAACCAAACCCTCTGACCTGAATGCGGCAACAAGTCCTCTGAGCTGCCCATAAAGTTGCCATCAAGCCGTCAAGTGGCAAACCCGATGCACACGCTGGCATCGCATGTCTTTAACGCATGCCCCTTCTTCCTTCCGGCATGTCTTTCGCAGCATGTCTTTAACGCCTAAGGCAAACTCCAGGCGTGCTGCCTTCTGTCCGGGGCCCCGGGGCTGTCTCACTTCGGGCCATGAGATGTCCATTTCGGGGTGCACCCCAAAACGGCCCAAAAGGCTTCCACCCCCCAGCCTGTGCCCCATGTTGCAGTTCGGCTTCATGGATAGTACGTACTCCCCCCATCAACTACAAACTATTGCCCAATAAACTACTAGGATGGACGGCAAAGTAATGCAACACATCTGCAAAGAACATGCTATGTAGGTAAGGGTCAACATGGGCAAGGATCAGCCTCTTTCCGCAGCCAATCGGATGGATCCTAAGATCGACAATCCGTCCATATGGGCATCAAGTCGGATAAATGTGGATACCAAAAAATGTTTGTTCTAGCGGACATTTGGCAACGCTGGTGAGAGTGTTGAATGTCATAAGCAGTTGGATCCCTTTCAAGGATGGTGTCTGGATGAAACAAGACTCGCCAAGCTGTCTTCGTACACATCCAAACGGCAGGGCATCAAGGCTTCTCGCTCCTCGAGAAGGCTATGGTTGTAGAGGAAAACGACCAAAAGGAAACACACACACACACACACTGTGGCCGGGCAATACGGCCACAATACGGGCCCCCCCCACTCTTCAGGAGACCACAAACATGGCGTTCTGTGCCTACCACCTTGCCACTTGCACGACGGGACGGCTGACTCGTGCCCCTCCTTCATAAAGTAGCCCGCAGTCAAGGAGTGCTTCTGGAGCGCGGTGAGATTCACCTGAGGAAGTCTGAACTGGGAAACTGGGGAAAGCAGGGCGTGGGGGATTTGTTGAGAGGGAACCCGTCAGTCACTGTGGGTTGAGTGTAAGGCAGCGTCCAAGCTTTCCATCTGGATTTTGAGGGGGTTGCCTCATGCTTGATCTTGAAGGGAACCTTGCATTTGCTTCAGGCTCCACTAAACCAGACCCTTTTCCTTTAAATCCACCAGAGAGGGAAACAAGACATCACCAAAGGACACTAGCCAACCAACAAAAACACACAACATGCCGAATCTAAAGGTCTGGGCAAGGGGCCGGAGGGGTTCCTGGTTAAAGGCAAGGCCCTTCTTTTTCCCGCTTCTGGGCTCTCCATTTCAGATCCCCATAGCAAGTTTGAGCAACCTATGGCTTAAATTCGGAAACCCAACCAAAAGGATCTCACAAAGCTAAGGAACTGGCTGGCGAACCGAGGTTTCAAGAACGCAATCCATCAGATCTCAACCTCCAGGGCTTGCCGTTGATGCGTATCCAATAGCTTGCTGCCTCGGACTGGGCTCGGATTATGACTACGCTTCTACGCAGAACTGGGGTTGATTCCCTAACGTAGTTGGCTGAGCCCTTGGGATTTTGGGCGGTCCATGGAGGGTTGATCTTGTCAACACCTTTCTAGAACTTCAAACAAGGGCCTGTCCCGGGCTTGGCTAGGGATGGACTCTTCCTGGAGGGGTGGTGGAATGACGCAAACAAGTCCAAATAGTCACGGAGAGGGGATCACTGTGAAAATCATGCGCCTGCAAGAAGATCGTGCTCCATGTGTTGGATGTGAGTGCGTTCGTGCGTGTGTGCGTCTGTGCGTGTGCGCGTGCGTGCGTGCGTGCCTGCGTGCTTGCGTGCCTGCGTGCGTTAGTGCGTGCGGGCGGGCGGGTGGCGTGGGTGGGTGGGTGGGTGGGCGGGCGGGCGGGCGGGCGGGCGGGCGGGCGGGTGGGTGGGTGCGTGTTTGTTTGTTTGTGTGTGTGTGTGGGTGTGCGTGTGCGTGTGCGTGCCCCCGTGCGTGTGCGGCGTCTGCGTGTGGATGTGCTGGTGCGTGCGCGTCTCCGTGTGTGTGTGTGTGTGTGAGAGAGATGGTTGCTGCCAAGCAAGTATGCTGACTGTATGGGGGGCTACTAACCTTGCCCCCCCCCCCCAAATCGATCCAAGCGTCCTGGTCGTCAATGACACGGGAACAGAACTCCGGCGAGTCCGGACACAGCCTTGGCGTTGCTTCCATGTCCAATCTTGTGTGCGGCCCAAAGCTCCGCGCTCCCTTGTTCTTTCTGCCGAGAATCTTGATGCGCAAAAAAAATTCACACACACACACACCTTGCCAAACTTTGGCGACTGTCGGTGGTCTGGTGGCAAAATCCAACCCATACCTCCACTGCGGACAAGGACAAACAAATGAATCTACCAAATCAGGGTAAAGGCAACAATCATGGTGATGTTGTAAGATGTTGACCAACACAAACCGTGGAACTTAGTAAATTAGTGGAAACACATGTAGCTCCCCGTGGGCCGTTGCTGGCAAGTGTGTGCATGAAATCAAGAGTTTTTAGATTTGGCACACCCCCACGCTTCTCTTACAAATTGCAAGTACCGGGCCCCTATCCCTTGCCACGTTGTTTGCACATCTGAATTCGGGGGTCCTTCATCCTTGGGCCATCGGAGAATCTCTACCATCGGCCAATGTGACCTTTGGGTACCGTCTTCCGATGGCTTGACGGGAATCAGAGCTCTTGGAATACACATACTTTCCTGGGTCGCAGCGACACCTATCTGATGAGCAGTGGGAATTGCTCCAGAGCGGGCATTCGTTATCAAGGATTGATACAGTAACGTCTTGGTTGAGTAGTATGATTGATTCGGGGACCGGCAAAAAGAACAACACCTAAGTGCCTGAATCCGCCAAGTTGAGGATTCCGCGGACATGTACATGCTTTCCACAGGGCCCCGGCACAAAAGTCCGGTTGTTGCGCAGAGCGAACACCGCGCCATCCTGGTTTCCATGCGGCAAATGCATCGGCAACATGGGGTCGGTTTGGCTCGGACTCGCAGCCCAATGATGGCTTTGCCTTCGCCTGCCTCAAATGCCACGCTGAGGGCTGTCCTGATGATAGGACAAAAGCTTGAAGCCTCCGACAAGTGCTCTACTGTGGTTGAGGTTCTTCCAAAGCCTTGGCTTCCTTCTGGCGTCGAACGGGTCCCGAAACTAAATGAATAATATATATATATATAGTTATTTTTGAATAAGGCATTTGGATGGGGAACGCAGGGCTCATGGAAGACTGTTGGCCTTTTCTTCGCTTTCCGTGGTAACAGGGCAGGACGGTCCCGGTTCTCCAAAACATCCTTGCTGCTTTTGACCTGCTCTTGATGCCGCTTTCGCCTGTCGGCTTCCGGAGGTTGAGGGATTAACAACAGCCGGGGTGCCCTGATTCGGGGTGTTGTTCTCAAGAAGCAATGGTGAGTGGCAAACACATGGCCAGAAGCCGACAATGGCACACTGCCTGAAGCTTGAGTGCCCTTTGGCTTTCCGGAGTACGCATATCGCGCTTGAAGCATTCAGAATTCTGCTCAACTCCTTTTTTGGGCTCGTAGCTCCACGCAAACATACATTGCGTCACACAGATCAGCAAGCGGAAAAGCGACCTTACACCGTTGCAGGCATGTGTGACTTCCCTTTTCTCTCAGGCACACAGATCAGAATCGGGTTCAAGTCTTTGTCGCTTCATCCCCTTCATCCACAAGCCAACCCCCATCTGTTGTCAAACCCCTCCACGCATCCGCAGGTCCTTCTCGCCCGGGCCCAGGTGGAAGCAACCGTCCTGGCAGCGCAAAGCATCTGATTGGTTGAGGAAGCCGCCAGATGGTAGCTGCCTCGAAATGCCCGAACAACTGGGAAGAGGGCTCAAAGAACAAGTGCAATGGGCGATCATGTCATTTTTCTTTCCGGGATTCTTCAGCGACTCGATGGTTGATGGAAGTTTTTGCAGGTCCTGTACTGAGACCAAGGTTTTGCTACTTTGCGGTACAAACTGAATCTACACGCTTGTTCTAAATAATGCAGCTTACAATCATCATTCGGGACACATGCTGCTTGCATCAACGTACAACTTAGCTTAGAGTTGTCCTGTTCAGTCGAGTCCTTATCAATAATTCCGCTTCCTTGAAAACTACTTACCCCGCTGAATAACGTCAAATCTATCCCGCGCATGCTTGACACGGAGTTCGGCAAGAGCAGTGCCACGAATAGCAGGTGTGGCGCACAGGCGTCATCAGGCTCCACTCTTGCCTTTGGACTAGCCATCGCCATAGGAAGTTGTCCAAGCGGCCTCTGACACCAACCACAACAAGAAACTTCTAAGCAACCATCGAACCAATTTGGGCGAGCTTGCCCCAAGCTCATTTAAAGGCAGCCGCCAGTAGTTCCTCTCAAAACAACAAACATATTCCTACAGGGTTTGTCTCGGAATCTAACACAGCAAACCGAGCCATCAATGCCACATATCTTAATAGGGGAATACTCACCTATAAGTACATGTCTAAAGGTCATATCATCGCCCTTGAGTTCTCATTTCCCCTAACGACAAAACACGTATCTTAATAGTACAAACCATCAAACAGAGCGATACACCCCAAAGACACCTACCTGATCCAGGGCCGTCTCAGCAGGAACTTATGTAACAATCAAATGTGCTCAAGAGCCGTAGACTCCTGTTTCTATCGTCATATTTCACGGGGAGGATGCTTGCCGGGAAAAGCCAAATCTGAGAAAAGACAAGTCTTACTTACTTTCGGTTCATTTAGCATGCCCCCTCCTCTCCTTTTTGTCGCAGAATGGACAGTAAGCAGTCCCCCAAATGTGCTCCCCAAAGAAGACACGGACTGCTGAACATTTTGGGCGCTTTGTATCGAGGGCGCCTTGTTTGCTTGGTTGCTGCGAAACGGGCCAACAACACCTCGCTTCCTGAGTGGATGGTCAGAAACAGCTCTCATTTTTCGTTAACCACCCAACTGCTCGAAACCCAAAAAGTGCCCAACAATCCTGCGCGGATTGGTCAGAAACAGCACCCACACTTTTGTGTTTACGACTAAGATGGTCCACACCCCCAAAAAGTGCCTAAAGTCCGAGTCGGATCTCAGGGCTCGTGAGACACCTGCGTCGCATCTGCCCGGAGGACTTGCCTTCAGCACGCCGCTGATGACGTGTGGCACAGGCATGCCCAGGGGCGGGCCCCACTTGTCCAGGTGAGGCCTAGGCGACTGCTTCAACTAAACCCAAACGGCGGCTTGCAACAAACAAACAGAACTTCTAGATTTTTCCAGCCCCCTGGAAAAATGAAGACAACCAAAACAGTCCTAAAAAGAAGAAAGAGCTTGCCATGGACCGTGAAGTAGGCTTGTCATAATTTGCCAACATCCCATGCTCAGCAAGGGTCCTACGCCACCTTTTATCATCCCTCCACGTGTTGAGCAACCGCACTGCGTTGCTTCAATGGGGTGCGGCTTGCATCAACTTCAGAGTTGGTGCAAGCTTCACATACATATATGCATCCATTCATGCATACATAATCAAGCATGACTAGCTAAACTACTGTTGCAACATCCTGCTTTGGGCTTCCTGTTACGTCGGCTCAGGGTCAGGCTGTTTAAGAACATGTTGACCACCCCACTCAACATCCTCAACGCTGATTTGTTCCAGACAATCAGGCAAGTCATTCCAGCTACCACAGCCAGTACTACGGATAGTAGACGCTGGTTCCCCCGCTGTGGTGCTATGCGGAAGACATAGCATGATACAGCAGCCAACGTACAAAAGACGAACAGGTACTTGACCGCAAACAGATGCATGGATGGACGGATCTAGCAAGACTTTAAGACACAGCATGACATAGCTGTTATCTACAAAGCTCTGCCACTTACTTGACCAGAAGCAAATGTACGAATGCACAAGCGTACTAAGACCTTAAGATACAGCATGGCATAGCTGCCAATCTGAAAAGCTCTGGCACTTACTTGACCAGAAGATCCCAGAAGCAAATGTACGGATGCACCCAGCTTCCTGTTCAGCTCGACCGTCCCAAGTGCCAAAGCAATGACATGCACCCAAAGGATCGTTTCGTTGCACCCAATAGCATCCCTGGCAACTCGCCAGGTGTCAGGTCAGTCTGCTGGATTTGCAACGCCAGGTGATTGAAGAACTTCGCAAACCTGTTGATGGGCAAGCAAAGAACTGCACTCCATTTACATTTGAATACGCGGCGTCTAAACCTCCAGACACCATCAATTTTACTTTTGCTTTGAACATTCATTTTTCTGCGGCGCGGTGTGTTTTTTATGCTTCATTCTTTGCTTATCAACATGTTTATCGAATCTCCAATTTTTGTCTTCCACCGTCTTCTTGTCATTAAAACATACCTTTTGCAGTAAAATTCCTCGCCTGCCGTACCATCTATCACTTGCCTGCCATCTCTCACTGGACGCACAGCCGAGAAAGCAAACCGATTGAACATGGCCATGGGTCAAACGCCAAATCGGTTAGCCCCCAGTGAGCGGGACCCAACCCAACCACTAAAACAGGTTCTAAAATGGGTGGTGAATTCACCTACCCCCACAGTGGGATCCCAAAACGGTTTTGACAACCACAGCCATATGGCCATGAATTTTAATAGGGAACCACCTTAAAAGTGATTGGTGGACATGAATCCCCACCTAAATGATGTCCACCAAAGGGTCCCTTATTAAAATTCATAGCCGAAAAAGAGCAGTGCAATGAGAAACAAACAAAGGGAACGCCCCGGGCCCGAGTTGCGTCCCACCTGAGGCCCTGGCGGAAGCTGCGGGAAGTCGTGCCACACCCAGGAAGGGTTGCCATTCCTCGGTGAAGCGCCGGAAAAGCTTCGCCTTTGACGGTGTGGGTCAAACATGGGTACCCAAATGGCCCAAAATGGGTTGCCCTGGATAATGGAACCAAGGACTAAAATCTGTGGTCTCCTGGTGGTCTAATTTTGACCCATAGCCACATGTAAAGGATTTGGAAGCATGCTTTCGACCGAAAGGCATCTGCGCTTTCCAAGCATGTGAGACAGACACAAGTTGCTGTCCCCATGCCTTTCGAGCCCGGCGAATAAAAAGCCGTGTGCCTCGGTCACAAAATACCAAGGGGTGCCTTCATCCCTTTTTTTTGCCACTGGGCCAGGTCAAAAGGCACCCGATGCTTCTGGGATCAGTCTTCAATGCCCACCTCATGCGCAAGTGCCTGGTGACATGTGATTTGCTCAGGGAAGACCCCTGCGTCCAATAGCGCTCTCAGCTGTCTGTGTAAGGCAATGGCCTTGCCATGATTTTCACCGGTTTGAAACCAGTGCCATTAATGTCACGCACAAGTACCACGCTCATCATTTCGCCACCTAGATTCAGTCCGTCTCTTTCATCACAGGTTCATCAATCTGGGCCTTGGGGCGGTTTAGGCCATTTCATCGGTTCCTCTTATAGGTCCTCTATAGAGAGGTTAGAATCAGGGTACCAACTTTTCCCTTTTTAGTCTATTTTCGGGGAACCCAACCCCCCAACCAAAAAAGAAGCGGGTGAGAGGTCGGGCACCTGTTGCTGGGACCTGGAGACAAGTCCTTCCCTCGGCCTTCCGGGCCACCGGGCAGAGTCACCGTGCCCGGGCGCCAGGATCGGGACACCCGTTTCTGCGCCTGGAGGTTTCGACGTGACGCCGCCTGTTTTCAGATCTGCCAGAGTGGGTTTCATTCGTTGAAACGACTGAAGAGCTCACTAAGCGAACCAAAAAGCGAACGAGCAACTCACGTTGAGTGCTTAAACCAACTAACAACCACTAAGCTGAGGAGCCGGAGCTTCGGGAGAGGTGAATTGTGGATGTTCCGAACAAACAGCTCTCAGGTTCCATGTGGGAGTGGGGGCCAAATGAGACTGCTCTGTCTGCTTGGTTACGCCATGTTCAACTAAGAACGTGTCAAAACCGGTTGAACACTGCTTTGGGACTTGGCTTTCCCAGAAATTCTGAAGCCATTGTTGCTAAGAAACCCGGACTCGTTTACGGTCAAGCTTGTGCCGTCATTTATGGGCAACAATGACCGATTTGCACTATCTTGTGGGGGATAACAGCTCTTGCATTCAGTTTTATTTGTTTTCTGTCATTTTCATATGACATTGCTCATTTTCATATGACATTGCTCAACCTTCCGCCGACCCTTGTGCGCAGCTTCCGCAGCATAAACCGTCGCTTCCGCAAGCTTTTGTTACTTTTCCTTGCGCGAACAGCGTGCTGCTGATTTGTCGGCTTATTGCCTCACGCATACCTTTGCGCGAAACTTCCGCGAGGTCGATTTTTCTGCAAGCCTTCTGACCCTCCGCGACTGCAGTCCCAGACAGGGCGGACTGCAAGATTTATGTCCTCGCTCTCTTGAACATTACAGGGTAAACAAAAAACAATTCAAATTTAGGATTCCACCCTTTTCTTCTGATGGCGTAGCTCTGTCGTCTAGCTTTCACTTCTCTCTTGGCTCTGATGTTCTAGGTATCTTCCGAAGGGCATTGTTGGCATCAAAATACTTAAGCAAACATACAACACCAAAAGCTTGCAAATGTGTTTCAACTGAATGTTCATCCAAGAACCGTTGTTGAGTGTTCAGACGTGCAATGATGATGCATTGGTGCTTGCATGACAGCTTCCCGTTTAGATGTTCTCTTTACGATGCACGAGGCATGTAGGTTTACCTCGAGTTGTCAGCAGTTCATGTAGTATTTACATGTATATAGTCTCACCTGTTGGTGCAACTCTCTGAAAGGATCCCTCATGAACAATCCCCATCATACTTGGGCCCTTGCTCCATGTTTGACAGCACCCGGTCAGGGTTCGGCTCAAATACAGTTTGCTGCCAACGTACTCTGTAGCTAAAGTCAAAGGAACTTCTGATCTTACGACACCTGGGAGGGTCCAGTTGTTACTTCTATGTTGAAATTTAGTCCGGCGTTCAACTTTTACCTCAGCTCGGGCTTCTCGCATGGGGACATCTACCTTGCAGAAACAACAAATCCATAGCACCACGTGGAATCGTTTCCAACAAATCCATAGCTCAAGCGTCTTCCCGACGGCCTGAGAAATTCATTTTCGTTCGATTCCCAAGCTGAGAAGGCTATCTCCCCCAAGTCACCTCCACGTTGATAGTCGTTGTTCCTTCTGGGTGAACATATCGACCCGCCTCAGATCGCGGACTTCGTTCTTCGTTCCGGGTGAACAAATTAACCCGACTCAGCTCGCCAGTGCCCCATGACCCGCCTGGATCTGGACCGTCGGAGGGTCCGGCATGTTCTGGCGCGGCGAGGCGAGTGGACAAGAACCTTTCCATCGTTGGCAGCCTTTTGACAGCGGAATGATACACAATACCCACGACCTTGTGACGTCGGCACATACATTGACATCATCCAAGCACTTAATTGCTTCACACTCAACCCGCCTATCGCCCACCCGTTGCGCCCCAGCTCCATTCTTTGCTTTACACACAGCCATGAATCCCGTCCCTCGCTCAGGAAGAGCCCTCGCACAAGACAAAGCACCTCGCCCGGCCTTCCACATGGTAAACGGCAGCACTAAAGGGTTGCGCTGCGCGTCTTTGGCCATGCGCTCACCTGCCCCCCCCATAGCGCAGTAATGTCCACCTCTGATTAATAACCCCCCCCCCCCCCAAACAACTGAGGTCCCTCAAACAAAGTTGGAAAAGTATACCAACACCAAACTAAGCTTTGGGATTACTAGTTTAGATTTTTTTGGGGGGAGTCTTTTCAATTGACTTTAGTATTGCAACTGCACATTTGGAGTTGGAGAGTCTTTGTAGTTGGTTGGTGCTTTTGGAAGGGGTCTGGCCAACAAACTTTATTTGGGGACTGCTCTCAAATCAAGTTTTTGCATGAGATTCAGGCTGCCGTGTAAGAGATTAACCAAAAACATGAGATGTGGGAGCTCCTGCAGTTTTGGATTTTGAGCATCACCCAAAGAAAGAACTTGCTTTGGCAAGAACGGGCTGGGTTTGGGATTTTGATGAGGGATTCTTTTTGAAGAGGCTGGGATGGGGAGCTGGGTACTCTTGGAGAGGGGCTGGCCAAGAAACTTTATTTGGGGACCGCTCTCAAATCAAGTTTTTGCGTGAGCTTCGAGCTCCCGTGTAGTACCCCCTTTGTGGGATTTGTTTTAGAATTATTTTTAACAAAGAGATTAAACACCACCATGAGATGTGGGAACTCCTGCAGTTTTGGATTTTGAGCATCACCCAAAGAAAGAACTTGCTTTGGCAAGAACGGGCTGGGTTTGGGATTTTGATGAGGGATTCTTTTTGAAGAGGCTGGGATGGGGAGCTGGGTACTCTTGGAGAGGGGCTGGCCAACAAACTTTATTTGGGGACCGCTCTCAAATCAAGTTTTTGCGTGAGATTCGAGCTCCCGTGTAGTACCCCCTTTGTGGGATTTGTTTTAGTATTACTTTTAACAAAGATATTAAACAACACCATGAGGTCTGGGAACTCCTGCAGTTTTGGATTTTGAGCATCACCCAAAGAAAGAACTTGCTTTGGCAAGAACGGGCTGGGTTTGGGATTTTGATGAGGGATTCTTTTTGAAGAGGCTGGGATGGGGAGCTGGGTACTCTTGGAGAGGGGCTGGCCAAGAAACTTTATTTGGGGACCGCTCTCAAATCAAGTTTTTGCGTGAGCTTCGAGCTCCCGTGTAGTACCCCCTTTGTGGGATTTGTTTTAGAATTATTTTTAACAAAGAGATTAAACACCACCATGAGATGTGGGAACTCCTGCAGTTTTGGATTTTGAGCATCACCCAAAGAAAGAACTTGCTTTGGCAAGAACGGGCTGGGTTTGGGATTTTGATGAGGGGATTCTTTTTGAAGAGGCTGGGATGGGGAGCTGGGTGCTTTGGGAGGGGGGCTGGCATTGTTTTTTGGGACCCAGTGATTAATCAGTCCGGGCCCCCCAAAAACTTATTTGAAGACCAATTACTAATCGTAGGTGAACACATCTGGGAACTATGAAGCATTCTTGGCCTTGCGGTTGCGAGATGCAACAGTTTTTCCTCACTGGCGTTGCAAGAGAGCTCAAAGCACCCAACTTTGAGCTGTTGCCTTTTCTTTGGCCCCATTTCGGGCTGTGTTGAATCCCACAGGCTTCACTATGTTGAACACGTGCAGCCTTGTGGGCATGTGAGTCAGCAACAAGCTTTCTGACACCTCGCTAGCAACCGCCACTAGGACCCACTATTCAGAAAATTGAGAAACTGAGTGTTGCGACGATGCTTCCGCTTTGAACACATTTGCTTGTTTCCTTCACCAGGCAAACAAGGGGGTCAATAAATTCACAGCAACCCTGACGCAACTGGCATCATTTGCTTGAGGTAACTCCAATGGCCCTTGGAGAACCTGCAACGTGAAACCTGTAGGTCCAGTGGCCAAGAGCAAAAAGCAACAGTATGCAGTCTTGGCGATGCGTGCAAGAGAAATCGTCCAAGTGTTTGGGGCGTGGGGGTGCTTTTTATGAATCAAACCTTGCCAACCGACCACAGGCAACAAGCAACAACCGGCAACCAATCTGGAGGTCTGAGTCTCTCATCGAGAAGCGGGCGCCTTCTTTCTGCTTGACCTTCAACGACTGAACGTACTCATTGATGTACTCCTTCGGTACCTCGTTGGCACCGGCGAAGCTTCAGCTCTGTCAACGCGCCAACCGATCAGCTCTGGATAGTATAATAGGGCCGCGATTTGATTTGTGGACGAAATTGAAACTTCGGCGCCGCTGGAATGGCTGGTGCGGCGTTCCTGCTCACCATCTCCTTTTCCCCCTTGGCCAAGGCTCAGTAGAGAACCAAGAACCCTCCCCCTCTAACTCCCTGGTACCCACTAATGGGCCCTCCAGGGCCCGGGCATAGAGCTTGGGATCCCCGGTGAGGTGCAAGCGAGAGATGTTCCCGGGCACCAAGACCCCGCAATCCTCGGCCCAATCGGAGAAAAGCCAAGGCTAGGCGAGCCACTGGAAAGCCGGAAAATAAAGCAACGACTATAGTACTCCATCCAAAAAAGTGGCAACTGGATTCACAGTGGCAATGTTGGTTCTACGCTCGAAACAAGATCCCCATGGCTTCGTGGCCATCTGTGCCTCCGAAAGCCCTCCACCAACTGTGGGCCACGGTCAAACCCTTCGACATGCTCGTCTACTCGTCTAAAAGTTTCTACACAACACTTGAAGACCATTGAAAAACCTCAAGTTACCAGGCCTTCTGATGGCGCTGTCAGTGTTGGCAACCTTTCATCAACTGGTGGACAGTGTCCAACACACCGCGCATTTTAGTTAGGCACAACTACATATCACGTGAGATCACTCTCATCCAGGCTTAGTGTGCAGCCTCGGCATGCGGTGGAATGATAATTCCTCCTTCGAGGAGTGTGTACGCTGGTTGCAAAGTTTGCCATGCGATGGTTCAGATCCAGTTGGTGCAGAAGCTCCGTGTAGTAACGCCACACGCAAACATAGTTTGCGCTTACCACCTGTCGGTGGGTCTCCTCCTAACACTGGAAGTTTGCGCAGTCTTCCCCAAACAGCGTGCCTACACTAAGGTTCTTACAGAAAGTGGTGGCTTGGGGCACGCCCTGTAAACTTTGGGCGTTGGAGTGCTCTTGCTGCGCTGAAGTGCGAATTTTTAACATGGAACTCAACCCTTTGCGGACTTTGCTTTTTGTCGCTGCGGGGCGGTGCGCGTTTCGAGCACTGAAGGTGAACCCTCAGCGAACTTTTGGTGTGTTGAGTCGCTGTCGCTGCGACGGCTCTAGCGCGGTGCATTTTGAACGTCGAAAGCGAGCCCTCTGCGGAACTCCGGGTGTGTTTTGAATCGCTGTCGCCGTGGCGCCGTGCACTTTTTGAACACCGAAAGTGAACCATCTACGGACTTTGGGTGGTTGAGTTGCTGTCGCTGTGAGTGACGCGGGCGGAATCTTCAATGTCGAAAGTGAACCCTCTGCGGTCTTTGGGCAGGTTGGATCGATCTGGCTGTGGCGCGGTGCATTTTAAGCGTCGAAAGTGAGCCTGCTGCGGGTATCGCTGAGGCTGTGGCGCGGTTCGCATTTTGAACATCGAAAATGGGCCCTCTGGGGACTTTAGGCACTCCTGCGCCAATTTCAAACGTCGAGGTGCAGGACCTGCCACCATTCTCTTGCAAGAGGTCCTGAGGAGGGTGCTCTCGACAGATCCTCGAGGGAGAACCTTAACATATGGAGGATGCCCATCGATCCTGCGCACATATCTTGACAGAAATCCTATCTCAAGAGATCCTAGCCAGAGATCCTGCATCCTACGCAGAGTCGCAGAGTTCCTGTACAAATCCTCCCGAAGATACCTTGCGCTTGTCCAAAAAGGGATTCTCTCAGGTGGTCTGGCGCCGCAAGACTGCAAAGATTCTCTCCCAAGAAGTCGAGGTTTTGCTCAGATATCCTGAAAGATCCTCCCAAAGAAATCTTGCGCCGGTCCTGCGTAGGGATCCTCTCAACAGATATTGCGCTGGACCTGCAAATGCTGCTGCTGTGGAGGATGCTCTCTATACAGTTCCCGAAGGGAGACCGTTCAGAACTCGCCAAGACATCCTTTCAAGAGATCCCATCCGCAGATCCAAACCGAAGATTCTTCTAAACAGACCTTGTTCAAGACTTACGGAAATCGCATAATTTCCTTCAAAGACGTCTTGTGCAGGACCTCTTTTCACAGATCTTTGCTTGGCGCTTTCCGCAGGCCTCCGTTTGAAGCGCTCGCGCACGAAGGTCTTCCGCTAACCCTGTGTGGTTTCCGGAGAATTCCCCGCTCGCGAAGCAGCGAGCTGCGGTTTTCATTTGCCCCGGCTTTGAATTGTCTCAATCTTGCAGGACTCTAAGCAATGATTCTTGCTGTGCGGATTCCTGGGTGGATTTTCATTCCTGGTTACCTTCGTTATCAAACAAATGTTGACTGTTTTGGGGTCGAACCACAAGTGATTGGGGGAAGTCAACGGATATGTTTTGACTCATTTTGACACAGCTGCACTGGAAACATTGGCTGTGGAGACTGACGTGTGTGGGGGTCTCTTGACAGGTGGCCTCCAACAAAGAATATTCGTTACACCATGGCGAGAGTTGATGGCACACCTCCCTGTCTGTCGGAAAGCAAAGGATATCATGAAACATCAATTGGGAAATTGAGCTGTCTACTTCTTCCCACCTGCAAGGGCTAGGGATGTGTCGAAATGGTACTCTGGGCGCCAGGGCGTTGAACGGGTTCGCATCCAGGATGTTGCACACCAGGGACGGCGTCCTGTGGCGCTTTGGAGTTCACCCACGAATATTGAAAGGCTCCGCATGAAACAAACCATTGGTCTGTCATGCTCTCCCAAGGTTCCATGCCAGCGGGTAGGGGAAAGGGCTCATCAAGAATCCTTCGTTTTTCCGATTTCCTATTGTTCGCCATAAAGAACACTATATGAACATTCGCCATCTCCTTCCCATTGAGGACAGGTGTCATCCAATGTGGCAGGAAGCTTAGTCGCAAGCTAAAGAAGCACATCACGAATGTTCGCGCCTGGTAGCATTGCGCCTCAAAGTATTTTCCGTAAAAAAGACTAGAACAAACATATTCAAGAACTGAACAAATTAATCACCACAACGAAATGCGAGCATGTTTCTGAACACTACACTCAACCGCCATCCACAACTGCCTGCAAGCACATGATCATTGTCTATACACTGGCATCGTTGTAAACTGTATATATAATGCCTCACTCATGTGTTGTTGCCAACTAATCTAGGCATGACTTCTCACATGTTAACTTGTTTTGTTTGAAGGGCGGGAAGGGTGATCCACCATCGCATGAGGCCCAGGTGAGATCTTCGCGGGACGCATGGTTGGTTCCTCCCAGCCAACTCGGGTCCCTGTTGAATGAAAGCTCTCCCGGCCATCTCAGGCTGAAACATTGGCACATTCTAGGCCGCCCGTTTTCGGATCCCCCGCTGAAAGTGACTAACTTTTAGTGGGTTAAATGGAAACTACCACCAAACACCAAAAAGCTAAAAGGCTAAGGGGATGGCTGCTTCCAGCCACCATTGGATAGGTTTCCCTTCGAAAAAGAGTCTGGAGCCAGGCGTCCGTGCCCATAAGGCCCGAGACCGGCGGTGGCGTTGTCCCAGAGCACCCGCTGCGAGGGGATCTTGCTGGGCTGGCCCGCGTTGCTCACTGCCTCGCTGCACGCTCGTTACGCTCGTATGCGGAAAATCTAAGCCAGCGCAGTCTTTGAGTGAACAGACTTACCGGGGGGCAAAGTGACTTCAAGGGTCCCTTTATGATGGACTCGGAGGCCAGAACGAGAGTGCTGGTCCGCGACATGTTTTGCCCAACGGATCCGGCATGTTTAAGGCAACAACGATAGCTTGCAAATCTCAATCTCTCCAGCATTTCAACTCAAGACTGTCACGCTGACAGGGATGCACTACACATTTGGCACGTTGTTGGAGTAATGAGTCATATTTGGGACATGACAAAACCTCCTCTGCCTTGATAGCTCGCCGAAACCCGGCTCTCGCATTTGAAAACCTCGTGATCCCTTTGTATTGTGCGAGGCTGTGGCATGTTGGTGTACAGTAGGGCACTCTCCCGAAGGACAAAAGAAGTACTCCCCAAAGCTCATGTCAATGCAACAAAAAGCGTTGCTTGCGGTGGGAACCTTTTGCGGGTTCCAGTTCAATGTTCTGTGGAGTCGTCCCCCCAATTTTGCGGAACGTAGGAGAAGTGGAGGTTTCATCCGCTTCCCAGATCAAAACAGACTCGCAGTATTTCTGCTGCTCATCTGAAGATCTCAAACTCTTTGTTGGCCAACTTGCTGTTCCCCCCCCCTTCCCGCAATAAAATCACAAGTGGTTACCCTCCCACCAAATAACATGGAAGTGCAAAAAGGCCCTTTCCAACAGGAAAGTAGTCTTTCTACAGAGGTTTGCGCACTTCCATGCTAGCTTCAGGCAAGAATGAATCAGCCAATCCCGCTCTCCCCCAAACCATCGGTCAGCTCCAAGGTCACCAAACTCGGCGGCACCCGAGCTCCAGGCGAAAATCGCAGGGCCGCGCGCCCAGACCAAGACCTACGGGCGGGGGACAAAAAAGGGGCTCCAGGGTTTGGGGCATCCCGCCTGGAGCTTTGGAGCTTGCTATTTGGAAAGGAAGGCTTGAGATGTAAGTCCAAAATCCCTCAGGTTTGAGGAGTCTGTCTGCTCAAGTCGACTTGCCGCGTTGGTAAATCACGCGGTGGTAAACAAAAACCTCCCAAGTGCGACTCCACAATCTGAGAAACATGCAATTGCACTCAGAAAAGCGTTCGCCTTGCGGGTTGCCTTGAATCAATTGGACCAACACAGGAAAACAACACAGTCAAAAGATTGACTCGCTTTGGACCGAATGTTTCTCGCCGGGACAAGTAACAAAACCATTGTAGAGAGTGCAAAGTGCTTGCCTGCCCTTTGAGCAACGGCATTTGATCTTTGGCATCCGAAGGGAAGCGTCATCTCAGACGAGACTCCTCGGGTCAAATAGGAGGCAACCATCTGATCAAAGCGGCAACCTGCGCAGCCGCTTGCGGCACCGTCCGCGCCAGGCAGGGAAGTCGACGCTGGCGGTCTGTTTCATGGAAATGCCCAAGCTCATTATGAGGGAGCAAAACAGGAAAGGCGGGCGTGCGCGAATGGTTTTCAAAAAGCCGGTCCAAGCAGTTCGCACCTGGAAAGAGGGAGGCATGTGAGGTTGCAGCGCTGCTGTTGCAAGGCAAGGAGTCCAACTCAAACGTTTGAGCCCGCGTGCAGGCCAGCAGTACAGCGTCTGCCAACCGTAGCAGCCGCAAGCTGCAACTTGCCACAATTGCTTGGACAAAGCCAAGCTGGCTGAGTCATCCCCACCTCTTTGAAGGAGGGGGACGTCTGAAAATGTAATTTACATTCTCGAAGGTGCACTTTTCTCCCCCTTGCGCACTTCGACTCCCTGACAGCCTTCCCACATTTCCTACCTGGGGAACCAAAAATTTCATGTTGGGCTCCAGCGTCCGATGACAAAATACTGCTGACCCCAGCATGCCTCGGATGGTATTTTCGCAAGATGCCAGCGCCTCAAAGCAGCGAAGCTACATTTCAACAAGCGTAAGTAATTGTAGCTTGCACTTCTGGACGTCCCCCCTCATTTTCTGCCATTGAGGGGGTTGGAATGTTGAGTCTAAAGGACGTCGCAGCCAAAAGCCTCTCGCTAACACCAACTCCTGCAGAGAATGCGGAGACACCCTGTACGCCTGACTGAGGTGTGCTATGCAGTATGCTGGTTGGCTCTTCCTATTTATTTTGAGAATTTTGTTTCTGTCTTCTTGCAAGCAAGCACTGAGCCGCTTACCGGTCAATTCAGAATGTGGTCTAGAACACCTCCCCAATCGAGCCAAGAAGTTTGAGGCACTTCAGAAACTTTTGCACTTGGGCAGTCTGACTGCGCTGCTCCTGAACGGCTGGTGCATTTGCAGCCACGGACCGCTCTGTGGTAAGTCTGTTCTCTGAGTGACTGAGCCGGTTTGCAGCGAAGGCGGCAATTGCGCCGGCGACCAAGCGCAATCGGGTCGCTGGATGGCAAGTTGGGCGCCCAAAATCAGTCAAGAGAAGCAGACGCAAGGGTTGCTTTCCGAGGGTGTAATCACATCCTTCCTTTGGTGCGGCGCAGCACTCCGAGGCGAAGCTCGCCACGTGCCGGGCGCAGCCACAACGGCTCCATGCTTGGCTTGTGCCAAGGCCAGCTGATGCTGATGCCATCTGCCGCTCATGGCAACACAGAAAGGCCAACCTCGTTCCAAGCAGGCTTTTGTAGAGCCAGGCGCCTCTAAGACCCTAAATATGCGGGCCTTGAACAACCAAAGGCCTCAGAAAGAGATCGTGGGCTCCTGGGGCTTGTAAAGGGAGTAAACAGCTTCTCAAATGCGCGAGCGTTGAGGTGAGCAAGCTGCTTGGCTGGTCGGCTCCGCAAGCCCACTGTATCTAAAGTCCCTTCTGGGAAGCTGCCAAACAGAGGGCACCGCAAGGGCCGCTCCGTTTTTTCAGTTGCTGGTCTTCTTGGAGCCCGCATTCTATCCAGCCTTATGGAACTCAAGCTGTTATTGCCTATTTACTTTTTCACGCGCGAAATGCACTCGCCCTGCGCAACTGCGAAGCTTTCCGCTCCCTGAGACACAAGAGCAACTGCGAAGCACACATCACGTGCTTCAGTGTGTTGCTAGCTTTTTTTTTGTGCGTCACTTGGCCACTAAGTGGTGCTCTCTCCAGTTGCTTTCATTCCAAAGCATGGCCAATGCGGTCCAGACAAGCAACTTGAAATCTCAGGAACCGCCATTCACGCTAAATCACGCTAACTTCACACTCTGGAGAGTCCTGTCACGTGCTGAGAGGTCCTTTACACGCTAATTCACGCGGACATATCGCACATTAACTTTATCTGCTAAACCACGTCGTTATGCAATCGTCCCTGCATGCCGGAGTAAAGTCCCAAATAGGTTCTATTTTTTTGTGCCTTGCCCGCCAGCCTCAAGCCTCATTGTCATCTAACCTTCCTAAGGGGTCAATGGCGAAACACATGAATTCCTCCCACTTGGTGAGCCTGCCCGGCATGGCCAGCATCTGCAAAGTTTACTCTCATTCCAAAAGCTGAACAAAGGGATCCCCAAGCAAAACACTTTTATCATGGTGAGCTCGGCATACACGCCAATCGGTGAGCTCGCCATAAATTGGCAGAAGCATGCACACACCTCCCAGGAGCTCCGATATATAGGACAGACTGGACAAAGCTGGGTGTCACACTTGCGCAGTCGGATCTGCAAAAAGGCCTGGCACTGGTGGGCTTGGCTTCAACCCCACTTGCTGATGGCAAGGTCATAAGGTCATGGCAAATCATCGCTTTGCAAAGATCGGGTGAAGCAAATGCTAGGCCAAGATTGCATCATTGCGCTGAGCTTCGAGAATTGCCAGGCTTGAAGCTGCAAGCGCGAAGTTGCGGTGGCCAGACGCAGTTCGAAGCTGAGGCTTGCCACTTTCTTGGCACGGCCAAGCTGGCTTGGTATCTTGGCGTTGTCCAAACTCCTCCTGAAACAATCCTTGCGCGGCCCTTCCGCAAACCTTCCATGCTCCACGTCGATTGGACATCTAAAGCACAAGTGGTTGCAGGTTCTCGTTCATGACTTTCCTTGCTTTTGGATAGCTGGAGGTGGGAAGCTTTCCCGGAACTGCTGCTGGAGCCCAGGAGGGCTAAAAGCAGCCGTTCTCAAAGCGGCCAATGCTGAAAGCGGCCACGGCATCGATTTAGAGCACTTCTTTGTGGAAGGCTTGAAAGGGGAGGGCCTTACTTGGACAAACTTGTCTTCCAAGAGCCTTACGCGTTACTTTCACGTGACTATCACGCTTTTCCGCGCGTGTTTCTGTGTTGGCCCCGGCCCTCTTTTATGCAACACACACACACACCTACACTTGTATGGCCCTTCCGCGTCTCTTCCGCGCACAGTGGGAAGCTCATGCCATGTTAGGTTCGACATTCGGAATACGAAGCCGAATACATGGGATGTTTGAACAACACCCACATCTAAACCTTGTCGTGCAAGTTTCGAGCAACACATGATGCGAGGTATCTTGACACGAAGCCAGCCACTCAAGCAGAGATTAACGCAACTGTAAACTCGGTGGCTGAAGTCCTTGGCAAGCTGGGCCCACGATGCTTTGCACATGTGGAGATCTGCTGAACACATTTCAATTGGCTTCAGCTTCGCCAGTTGCTCAAAATGGTCAGAAGGCTTCTATGGCGCAGCTAAGATGCGGCGCTGCCGGCACTGCAAGGCCTTGCATCAAACGCAACAGGTGTCCTCCAACAGCAGCAGCAGCAGTCTTAAGCTGCAATTTTGGGCACAGCCAAATTAGCCGGGCACAAGCGGTCGCTGCTTTGCTCCGGTGAAGCCGCATTGAACAACGCCGTGCGCATGGGCGCAACCTCACAAAGCAGCGTGGAGGAGATGCTCGATATGCCACATGCCCCTAGCAGTGCAAAACGCGCTTCCCGCGCAGCGGCTTGCGTCGGATGAGCGTATCTCGGGCTTGAACGTGGGAAGGACTCTGTGCACCGGCAGCAACGCCAGGAAAATTCTGAGGGCAAGCCCCGCTTGCAATATCAGCTCCTCAAACAAGCGCAAAGCCTACGAAGCACTGCGGACGATATCTGGCCTTGTCTGGCACTGAGGAGTGTCCAAAACTTCTCTGCTGCCTCCACCTCTGCGCTGACTGTTGGTAGGTACCATGGTCAGGCCAAAGTGGTGCAACTTCCGACCGTGTTCCCTGGGGAGCATGACTTTATCAAAGGCGTCGAGCTCCGAATTGCTTGCGTGTTAACGGCAATCCCAAAAACTGATAAGAGAGGTGCGGATGGGAACGAAATGGTCACCATCTATCTCTTCCCATTCCCTTTCTATCACTTCCTCGTCCAATTAAAATTTGAGGCAGAGATAGACATGAGTGCCTGTGGGCCAGTTCTTTCCGATGGATGCAAATGATTTCCGCTTCCTTCATCTGTAGTCGGGTAAGGCCAAGTCTCAAGCCAAGTGGGCCAGCTCCTGCGCTAATTAACAGCCTGAGAGCAACGGGTGAGCGCCTGAGAGCTCACATCCAAGCAGCGTCCAGGATCAATCGGACACGGTGCTGCCGGTGTGGCAAGGCAAGGCATCAAACATCAAAGGCGCGAGCACGCGCGCCAGCCAGTAGTGCTGTGGCCTGCAGTTCCGTGTCTGCCAACCGCGACAATAGCAAGCTGCGACTTGCCACAAAGTCTTAGGCACTGCCAAAGTTGTTCCGTTGAGCCCGTTGCGATGTCATGCAACACCCCGCCCGGCAACCAGAACATATCCCATTCCCAGCAACATCTTGCAGGTTGCCTGGATGCGAAACCAAACGCTGAAGCAACCGCCACAGCACGACTGCGTCCTTGAATTGAATCTCAACGCGTGACAGCCTTGAACGCGTAAAGGGTGGGAAGTTGCTGCGCTGCGGGTGCTGCCAGGCAAGGCGTCCGACTCAGAAGGTGCACGCATGTGCGCAGGCCAGCAGCACTGCATCTGCCAACCACAGCAGCAGCAGTGCGAAGCTGAAGCTTGCCACCAAGTTCCGAGCACAGCCAAGCTGGTTTGGTCCAACCACTCTGCACTCTTCTCAAGTCAAGCAAACACACCCCGCCCTGCAGCCTCACATCCCATTCCTAGCAACATCTTGCAAGTTGCCTGGATGCGAAACCAAACGCTGAAGCAAACGCCACAGCACGACTGCGTCCTTGAATTGAATCTCAACGCGTGACAGCCTTGAACGCGTAAAGGGTGGGAAGTTGCTGCGCTGCGGGTGCTGCCAGGCAAGGCGTCCGACTCAGAAGGTGCACGCATGTGCGCAGGCCAGCAGCACTGCATCTGCCAACCACAGCAGCAGCAGTGCGAAGCTGAAGCTTGCCACCAAGTTCCGAGCACAGCCAAGCTGGTTTGGTCCAAACGATCTGCACTCTTCTCAAGTGAAGCAAACACACCCCGCCCCTGAACACATCCCAGCAACATCTTGCAAGTCAAGTTGATGCGCAGCCAAACGCTGAAGCAACTGCGTGCAACTGCCACACCAAGACCGCATCCTTGAACTGAACCTCAACACGCGCCAGCCTTGAAAGAACAGGAGGAGAGAAGTTGCTGCGCTGCAGTTGCTGCGAGCAGTCTCAAGCTGAAGTTTGCCACCATGTTCGGAGCACAGCCAAGCTGGTTTGGTCCAACCACTCTGCACTCTTCTCAAGTCAAGCAAACACACCCCGCCCTGCAGCCTCACATCCCATTCCCAGCAACATCTTGCAAGTTGCCTGGATGCGAAACCAAACGCTGAAGCAAACGCCACAGCACGACTGCGTTCTTGAATTGAATCTCAACGCGTGACAGCCTTGAACGCGTAAAGGGTGGGAAGTTGAGGCGCTGCGGGTGCTGCATGGCAAGGCATGCAACTCAGAAGGTGCAGGCATGCGCGCAGGCCAGCAGCACTGCATCTGCCAACCTCAAGTCAAGGCAATACACCGCTTCGCATTGTAATTAATGCTCCTCATGTTGCCATCCAACACTTCTCCTGCAAGCCTCAACAGATCGCATTTCAGTTGCAAATTCAGCTGGAGCAAATGCTAGACCCAAACTGCATCCTTAAACTCACTCCCCGCGCGCAGCCTTGGAAGCGGTGCAAGCCACTTGCCTCCTCAGTGGTTGCGCAAGCCAGCGATGCGCCTGGCAGTCGGATGCAACTTGCGAAGCTCTGGGCCGGCGATGCGAAAGCCATCGAAGGAAACGCTTGGACCAAGAGCGCATCCTTGAACGCAATCTCAGCGCGTGCCGCCCTGAGAAAAGTAGAAACCTGATTTCATTCCACCGGGAAGTTGCGCACCCTGAAGCGCATGTGAATCAACAAGTTGCCGCTCCGAGCCCGGGAACTTCGGAGCCGAAGCTGGGCCAACTGCGCCGACATTTGGCAAGACTGCCAAAGCCGAGGGGGTCGACACCAAGGCACAGCCTGCAAACCCAAATGCAAGAACAAGGGCTTTCCGAACAGGTCCACAGTCAGTGTTTGGACACGCTGCATCAAGTTGTTGCGAAGAAGGATTTCTCCCGGCAGCCAAGGCAAGTCCAGCCAATGGAAGGAGCTCCCAACACCCCGAACGGGCCACGCCCCCATATCAAAAGGCCCGCAAGCCCTGGCGATGGGGCTGCCAACGCACTCTGCGCACAGTCAAGCTGGTTGGACAAGGGCTCCGTGCTTTGCTCAACTAGAGGCAAGCCGATGTTCCTCGCGTCGTTTGTCATAGCATGCCTTTAGTGTCGGTTCAAGACGTGTTAGCAGGCGTACTACTGGTGGCTCTTTTGCGCAACCAGGTGAATGGTCGGCACATCCACAGGTCTGCAGCCGAGGTGGCGAGCAAGAATATGTTGAATCAACGTGTACGTGCCTAGCTTCCCTTTTCCATCTCGGTTTCCACATCTCTCGCAGTGAAGAATTGCATGTTCGACAGGCAGAGGCGACTACTGGAAGACCTTCTTGAGCCGAATAGCAAGGGGTGTTTTGAAACAATTTCTTGCGGGCTCAGCTGTGTTTTGCTTTTAAGTTTGTGGCTTTCCTGCTGGTCATCCAACCAATGCACGGCATGCCCATGCGCGAACAAAGTGCTGATAGGCACGCGCAAGCTGTTTCGCCTAAGTGACCTGTCTGACTTTGACAAGGTCAAAACAAACAAGAGCTTGGCGCTGTCGAGAGGGTGAGAGGCCCACAAAACCAACGAAGTGTTTTGGTGCGGTCTCCTCATATAAACCAGGCCCCTATCATGCGATCGTTTCGGTGCGGTCTCCTCACATCGAACTAGCGCTTCTCATTTCCCTCTGGCCCCGGCGAAGTTTGCATAACATGCGTGGCACAAATGAAGATCCGCCAGTTGCTGCCCGTGCTGGAAGGCTGGAAGATGGCGGGGATCAAACCAAATTCGCCATTGCTTCGCCAAGCTCGTGCCTTTTTTGGCCTGGGCATCTTTATCTGAATCCAACGCGCGGTGAACAATTGGAGACTCGGAAAAGCCTGGTTGCTTGACGCTGGTTGCTCGAACATCACCTGGTTGCCCCGCGGGTCCACATGCAATTTGCCGCGAGCTGCGGTTTCATGTCGCTCCACAAACTTGGACAGGGCGTTGGAATCCTCCACTGACGCAGCTGAACCGAGGATGCTTGACTCCAAAAATATGTGCGTGAAGGTTTTTATGAGGCTCTAGCAGCCGAAAGCCGCAGCCAGAAATGGCTTTGGCTTCAATCCGTCACAGCGAAAACTGCCCCACCCGTAAATAGAGGATTGTTGTTGGCGTGTTTGTGTGCGTCATGCCACAGTGTGTTTGCGTGTGTCATGCCACACGCGTGCACAGGTGTCAAATTAGATGGGAATATATTTGTCACAGTGAGCAGGACTGGACTCCTCCAGAGGGTCTTTTTCGTTCATTTCGCTGTGGGTCCAGAATCGGGTAACCCCAAAACGGGTTGCTGTGGGAAATGGGAACACATGGACCAACACCCTGCGGTCCGATTCCTGGTTTAATCATTGACCCACGCTTGCCCGTTTCTCGGAGAAAAAACAACAACAAAAACAACACACACACAAAAAAACAACAACCAAAAACACACACACACACAAAAAAAACAACGAAAAAACAAACCAACAAAACAACAACAAAAAACGTGGTCCAACAACGCAGCTGCGCCGGCGGTTTGGAGGGGGGAACAGTTCTTGCAGAACTCCGATCTTCAAAGCTATGACCTCGGCTCTGATTGATCGCTTCCTGCGGGTGAAACTCGGGGAAAAAAACCAACCCACTGGATTTGGACCAATATTCAAGCAATATCCGCTGCAACCAAGACTAAGCAACTAACCCACAAACCAGCAGACCCAACTAACCAACAAACCAACAAACCAACAAACCAACAAACCAACTAAGCAACTAACTAACTAACTAACTAACTAACTAACTAACTAACTAACTAACTAACTAGAAGCTACCAACTAAGCCCAGCAAGCAAGTCGGGGTCTTGCCCTAGGCCCAGCTGGCCGTTTTTTGCGCGTCTCATCAGCTCCATGCCCGGTGAAATGACCGTATGCCAGCCTCTTCAGTCGAAAATCTGGGCTCTCCGTTTTCAGATCTGCGAGAAGTGAGTCTAATTTGCGGGTGAAATTCGTTGAACCTGCCACTAAACTCATTGAACCAACTACAAGCCTAAGCCAGGTCCTCCAGTAGAGAGGTTAGAATAAGTACCCTTTTTTCTGTAGTCTATTTTAGTAGGGGAACCCTCCCAACAAAGGGTGAGCAAGGGCGCCAGGACCCGGATCTAGCCAAAGTCACCCGCCTGGTGGTCCATGTACACTGGGATGCACTTCCACGCGTGCAGGCCGTTGGTGCGTTTCCTCACCCATAGCACCTGCTCGGGAGCCAACCGGCACGGACATGCCAGAAGCATTTGCCGTCCCTCTCTGGAAAATAGAAGGAGAGTGGCACCAACTGACCTGGTAACGGATGCCAGCAGCTTTTGCCGTCCCTTTTTCTTTGTGGGCAAATAGAGGGAGAGTGAGAGAGAGTGAGTGAGAGTGCGAGAGGGTGAGTGAGATTTTGATATAGTAGAAACATGTTGAGACCCACAATTGGTGAGAGGGATGCTCGATTTCCCCAGCAGCTGGGGCAAATTGCCAACACTGAGTGCACCGATTTGATCATACGACTCCATCTTCGATTTTATCTTAGTTTGCACATATTGATTGAGCTGCCTGAGATGAATTCGCTGTTGTATCTGTCCTGGTCGTTCCATCCTGCACCGACTTGATGGGCGGATTAAGATGCCGGAGAAAGCAAACAATGACAGCAATGCCCGGGCCGAAAAGAACGCAGGGCTGAGCCTAAAGAACATCTTCCAGGCCCGCCACGTATCCTAAAGTAGGTCAACAACCTCTGCCAACTCTATAGTACTCTATAGCAAACAATCTGGGCGATCCGGAAAGCTGCAGCCAACTCCTTTGCGAGGCCTTGGGCCCAGAGTTGGGAAAACAAGTGGAAAAGGAGAGCGGCTGTCGCTTAGAAATACGCTCGCAATTCCTTCTTCGTTGCTGAAATTCTTGCACCGGCTCATTTATGTCGTAGGGTGTGGGCCCAAGGAGATGGCCAGTGCCTTCATCGCACAACCCTTGCTATGATAGGTGTCCTTGTTGGAAAATAGATGGGCCTGGTAGATGATTGAACCACCAGGTAAACCAGGGGCCTTCTGGTTTTCAAGCAAACCAACCACAAAGGACACCTATGCTTGCCCTGTCCGGCTTGAAATTCAAGGGGCGTGCTTTCAGGCTGTAGGTTGCCACTTGGAGTGAGCTTGTCTCTGGGTGTTCTGTGCCTGCGCTCGCGCTCGCGCACGTGTATCTCAGTGTGTCCATGTTTTTTTTTGGGTGTGTGTGTGTGTGTTTTTGTGTGTCTCTGTGCATCTCTGTGCATTTCTGTGTCTGTGTCACTGAAACCCAAGTTAGAAGCTGTTGGTTGAACAACTTAGAGGAACACTCACTTCAGGGTCCAACTGTTTCCACACAGGTCCTGATTGGCCTTGCGCGGAATCAAGAGCCAAAGCGTTGAGCAGAGCGTCCCTTTTCTAGATCCTCCAGTTAGGAGCTTAGAATAATTAAGGGTATCAACTTTTTTTGCCTGTAGTCTAGTTTAGCAGGGGAACCCTCCCCCAAAGGGGTGCTCATTTGTTCAGTGACCCTGGAAAAAAAAGGGAACCCTTTTTTGGGAAGACCGTTTTAGTGGAGCAGCCACCAAAAAAAAGGGACAAAGGGAGCCACTGAACAACTGAGGGTGAGAAAGGGCCCCTCGCTGGACCTCGTTTTGTTCCTTCCTCTTTGGCCCGCCGCGTCTTTTTCCGTGCAGCCAGGACTTGGAGGGCAGGGTTAGGGAAATATCCAGCCAGCATCTAACTGCGCTGTCCGTTTTCAGATGCCCCGCTAAAAGTGACTCACTTTTAGTGGGTCAAATGATAAGAACAAAACCGACTAAAACGCTCAAACAAAAAGCTAAGAAGCCAAGGGGATGGCTGGGAGCCACCAAGAAAAAACCAACCTTGGACTCCAAAGTTTGCAGGAAATTTATGGTAAACAACTCCCGGAACTTCCGAAGCTCCGAACGAACCCTTTTGCCGAACACGACCCGCTCGCTCGCCTTCTTCATGAGCTGGAAGGTGGGCGTAGAGGTGTTGTAGCCTTACGTGAGATGTTAATTGGCTCGCTAAAACTGGGGAGTTCAGCTAGACTGAGATGTCAATCTTTAGCTGAACATGGGGAGTTCAGCTTTGGTTTCCGACCTCAAAGTCTGCGAGCTGAACATGGTGTCCACTAAAACCCACAAGTGAAACTTTTCGCCGGGGATTCGTTTGAGCCATGGATCCAAACGAACCGTTTGGACAAGCTTCAAGCTGGAAACCTGGGGGTCACTACCACTAAACCCACTAAGCTTAAACAAAAAACAAAGGAACCGGATGGCTGGGAGCCACCAAGTTGCGTAACACACACATTTGGCCATGGGTCACAATTCCCTTACCCCCAGTGAACGGGACCCAATCCAATCACTAAAATAGGTTCTAATAATGGGTGGTGCACCTACCCCATGGTTTTGACCCACATTTGGCCGTCACGGCTCCAAAGGCCACCAAGGCCACCGCCATGATGCCACAAAGGCTGGCGCCAGTTGTCCACCTCCGATCTCGGCTTTTCAGCCCGGCAGGTCATCTAGGGGTCCTCTACCACAAGGGAGCGAAATCCCCCCCCAGTTCCATGTCCTAGTATTTGCAAGGGAAATTGTGTCCTAGTGCATTTTCAAGGCTTGAGCTTAGAATAAGTTGGTGCCAACTCTTTCCTTTTTGGTCTGTTTTAGTAGGGGAACCCAAAACCAACCATAAAAGGGGTGAGAGAGGGCACTGGGGGACCTAGAGGAATGTATGACATTCCAAGTGTCCGATTTGCAGACGTTGGGAAACATCTAAACATGTCAATTAAATTAACAAAGGTTGGCAACATTGCTTTGCCATAGCCAATTATTCCCAAAATGCCATGCGCACATGTCAGCGCCTGCCCTTGTTTCACATGGCCACCAGCAGCTTTGTAGGATCAGCAAAACTGGTGTTTTAACGGATACTCAATCTTATCAGCGGCTCAAACATCATGACCGTACCCACTGCACGTGCTGAACTTGTCCTTCCTCACTCCAGTCTCACCACACTAAATCGCTTCAGCTTTGAGACGGGCTTCAACTGTGCGTGTTCTGCTGAGCAAGGTCTGTAGATGCTTCGGTTGCCCATGCTAACTCAATACATATTTGTAGCAAGGGCAATTGCTTGCGTTGATTAGTTTGCTCCAGCTCTCCTCTATTTCTGTGCGTGTGTGCGCCCTGCTGCAGTCACACATGTCTGGCACAGTGGGCAGGACACGCACGAATTGCATTTCAGCATCATTGGCGCTTTGCCCCCCCAGACTGTAAGCCGCCCATTGACTGATGCTTGGTCCTCCAGTAGAGAGGTTAGAATAAGGGTACCCTTTTTTCTGTAGTCTTTTTTAGCAGGGGAACCCTCCCAGCTGAAAAAGGGGTGAGAAAGGGCGAAGGTTGGTTTTCGATCGCGCGGCATGCGAGGCAAACCTCGAGCGCCCAAAGGAGGTTAAAGAATTGGATTCTGATGTCCTCGAAGCAAGGCTTCTCTCTCCACTTCCCTGCCTTCAAGGGGTCTGAGTAGTTCAGACCTCGGTTGCGCCAGGGCTGAGACCTGCATCAAATTAGAATTTGACCCAAACAGCTCAAGGGAACCATGGCCAAAAGTTCCCTTCCCAAGGATTCGTGCAGGAAGCGGACAACGTGTATGGTGTATGAGAATAAACCCGGTGAGTTGCTCATATGGCTGTGGGTCAAAAATAGGTACCCCAATTGGAGCCCTGGTAAATGGAACCAAGGAGTAAATCCTGTGGTCCGATTCCTGGTGGTTTAATTTTGACCCATACCCATATGGCTGTGGGTCAAAACCAATGGTACCATTTTAAGGTAGGTGCACCACCGATTTTAGTCTAGTTTACCGGGGATTGGGATGTTGACTGGGGGTACGATTTGGATTTTGACCCATACCCATATCCTTTGGCAAGTGCCCACTCAGAACCCAACGCCCGCCTCCGTTCGCCCCACTCGCAAATCGCCTGCCGAGGGGCGGCCGCGGGCATTCTGCTCAGAGCCGAAGAGGAGGGCCGGCAAGCCCTCCATGCCCATCATCTGAGAGCAGGGCGAAATTCCAAGAAAATTTCATTAAAAAAAATCGGTAAAACATGAAACAAACACATTGCTTGAAAAGAATGTTTTTCTTCTTTTTTTCTTCAGATAATTCACGCAAAAATGCGAAAACGTTTGACCAAAACTCTGAACATGAAAGATGACGTTGCCTTTCCAACTGACTCGCAGTGCGAAGAGATTGCTTTCGATTTATATTACGCGCGGCTTCTCCATGGGTGCTGCCCTTAACAAACAAACCTCCAAGCACACAATCTACGTTTCCCTGTCTCTGACATTCTCGCCACCGTGAAACATTCCGCAATCCCCCTTCAAAAAAGGTTGAAATATTTGTGCCTCAGGTGATTAGATGACTCTGCCTGATATGGAATACGAATCGGCACAACTATACTCATCTTCCCTGGGTTGATGTTGGAAGGGGAGCAAACAATTAAATTTTAGCCATTAAGTGGGGATTTCAACCACTAAACCACTATAAGCAAAAATGTAACATGTTTCCCAACAACAACCACCTTCCCAACTTGATCTAATTGGTAGAGACAGAAGCGGCTCACAGAAAACCGCTTGCAATGTGTTCACTACTGGCCAGAAAAGCGCTGTCAGCGGGGTCGATGAGCCACATCCCAAAAGCCACATCCCAAAAGCACACGGCGATCCTACTGTTGCCGAAAATATCTCATGCTTTGAATTGGCAGCAATAGTTATGCCAGATTCTGATCCTCAATGAGTCCTTGTGAGATTCTCTTGAAATACCCATCTCAATCATAGGGTACCTGGAAGAATGGGTTTGCCTTTATCATCCGCAAGAGCAAACATCGTCGAACCTCTCCCTAAAGGCAGCCGAGAGACTGCCAGCATCGCGTTGTGGTACAGCCTTGGTTTCAGAACAAAGCCCGGGATTCACAGACTGAGCGCAGCAACTGGCTCAACTCTGAGTCGACAGAACCAGTTCACTGGTCCTTTGTGGATGACGCGCACGCCCTTGAAAAGTGTACCGTCACAACCAAGAAAGGGTCGTTGACAACTGCAGAAAGAAGTCCGTGCACGTTGGGACAGTGCATGGGATAAGGAGTCGCAAACAAAAAGGGTTAGACAGTTGAGTGGATGGATCGATGACCACATCTACAAACTTCCAGAGCAACAAAGGCCCGCGCCTTTGACAATCGTAGCTGAAATCTCAGTGTACACCCTACATGGCTTGAAGGCAAAAGGGCAAACGATGACATAGTAAGGACTGGCTTTGTGTGACGCAAAAGTCTCCTGGCAAGTGGGGGATCCCCCACTTTAGTAGCCCAAAGGAATGAACAGCTCACCTTGTAGGACCTTGACGATAGACCAACCCGGAGAAACCAAAAGGTCGGCTTTGAACAAGTGACCCCATTGTGCTACTATGGTCCCGAAAATGCCCAAGAATAAAACTCATTTTGTCGAATTTGGGGCACCTTAAGCATGCTCCTTGCCCATGTAGACGGTCTAGTGCAGCACTGGATGCCATTGGCAGCATGCCACCATTCCAACTTTCATTAGGGTCCAAAGATAGCGCTCAGCTGCTGCTGCTACGCGATAGTCAACAAGAATCCATGCATCCATCTTGCGCGCGTTGGCGTTCGAAGCTGCAAAAAGCCAAATTGCTTGCCAGTTGGTGGGATATCTGTAATTTGCCCCGGTGAGAAGGTAGGTCAACGTAAACAAAGGCGGTTGTATCACAACTTTGCTCCGTCGATCCCTGCAGTACCAGCCCTGTCCTGATGGCTCTTTTCTTTTCGGGAGGCTGCTCCACCAAAGGACCTTCTTGTGTGGATGGCTACACAAACACTGAGACTGGTGAACTCTTGGTGGCCAGTTCGCATGAACAAAAACGGGCGATATCATATTAGTATATATATTTATATATGTGTATTATCTTGTCGTTGATTGATTACTCCTCTGCACCAAACCATGGATGCCCCACACGGCGATTTCTTCCACATTGTTTTGTTCGGGGCCCATACAAACTCCAGGGGTGTTCGAACATTCCAGCCCTGTGGGGAGGTTCTAGGTCCACCATGGTGCTTTGTCCAAAAGAGCTTCCACCCCCCCCCCCCCCCGGAAAACGCCACGCACCAAACAAACAACTGATATGTAACAATACCCTTCATACTGTGGATGGACGAAATCCTGCACCACTTTGAAACCATGGGAAACCATTTGTTTGTTGGCATTTTGCAGGGCAATCATCATTCCAGGGTTTCTTAGGTGGTGCGAAGCGGATTTCGTCCATCCACAGTCATAGTGGCCGTGAGGCGCGCGGTCAAAATTGCTCGTTAAACCGGCATTTATTCCTTTTCAGTGAGTCACCCGTCGTTTTCCAAGTCTTGGCATTTTGCGAGGGTATCGTGCAAGGGTATCGTGTTCGTGAGTCACCTACCTTTGCTCATGCAATTAGCAAAGAAACTGCACGGCAAGTTTGACACCTTTCTTTCTCATACAAACTGGTTCCCCCATTTTCACCCAGAATGGGCTGTGTTTTTGCTGGCAAAAAGCCAAACAACACGCAGTCTTCATGGCATTCCGGCCTCTTTTCGCCTGGCGATCTTTCCCATACTCTCCCCCCCCCCCCCAGCACTTCTCACAAGGGGGAAGGGGTGGGGGGGACCCCAATTCCATTTCTCTCGTCTTCCCCACAAAAGGGGAACATATGACTACCTGATTACCATGGAGATCTCCAGGGCTCGCCAGATCTCCCCCTCCCCCGGTGGTGACGGTCCCGGATGCCGAGGCCCCGGACGCCATCATGGTGGCCTCAGGCACGCCGCCGCCCTCGCCGATGCGGTAGAGGAACCGGGGCCTCGGCTTGTGGACGACTTTGGAACAAACCGGGGCCTCGGTGCGCAAACGTCCACCTGGTCTCCTTCTGACCCTTTCAAAAAATGGTTGGTCATGACCCCATTTTTTAAGGGTCATGACCAACCATTTTTAAAGGGTCATGGAGACTCCAGGCACTGGAAGAAAAACAGAGATGTTCGGTCCAGTGAAATCGATCCCCCGTAAGAACAAATCCATGAAAGGAACTGAAAACCATAGTCTTGAGATGTCTTGAGCAAATGGACGTCACCTGGGTGTTTAGATGGGAAAACTAGACATGAGCTATCCGCTTTTTCTGTTTTTCTTCCCGGAGTATGTCAATCATTGGCTATTTGGCAGCCAGTAGCAGATTCTGCTATTCTCTCTACATCGGGTGTGCTGAAAAGCTCCACTCATTAAAAGTCTGAAAGGGCAAACTCAGAAGACGATGTGTCTAGCACGGAACGACTCTGAAACCGCACCAAAATGCGACGAAGATGATGGTATTGGGGCAGCAATGCACAGGACATTTGACAAACGCCGCTTTCCCTGGCTTGCTACTCATCGTTTGCCATGTGACGCGAGAATGCCTTGCATGCCTGAGCGCCCTAACTGGCGAGGACAACTACGGCGTGTGTTGGGCTTGCCAGCCGAATCCGAATCGACGCAGTCGACTTTGATGCTCACGGTTGAGCGCCGGGCAGATCGTTGTTGTCCAGGAAGTTCAGCAGAAAGCGGCCCTGCAACATCACCCTTCCCATGGGTCGAAGCCAGCGCAAACAACACGGTTTGGGTCGGTTTCCAGCTGCTCGTTGGATCGCTTGCAAAGGAGTAGACTACTAGGTCCAGTAGAGAGGTTAGAATAAGGGTACTCTTTTTCTGCAGTCTATTTTTGTAGGGGAAGCCTCCCCCTACTAAAGGGGTGTGAAAGGGCACTAGTGGGGGAACTAGACTAAACAACATGTCCCCTAAAATGGGTAATACGAAGTCGCTGGGACCCAATATCCCATGTTCATGGAAGGAGAATCCTGGGGACCAAACAAAGCCACCAGCAGCAAATCACACGGGTCAAGCACCTGCATTCTAAAGGGAAAAGCCATGATGGGGTACTACTAACTTGTGGGGAAACTACCACTAACACCCTGCTCACCACAGCTTGTGGGTGGGCTAAATTTGGATATCCAACCACAAAAAAGCCCTACCTCATGTTGACCCAGGATTACCACGTCCAACTAGGGGTGTGTTCCCTCCAAAAGTGATTCGAATCCCCACTCAAAGCGGACACTCCCCTATTCATCAACCAGGGGTTCTGCTTAGTCCGGGGTTAACATTACAAGACAAGCGGATGGCCCCCTCCCGGGCGCTTCCTCCGTCCGGTCTTCGATCGGATTTCGGAGATCGATGGATGCCAGGCCTCGGCCTTTGGAAGCTGCTTCTCCATCCAGTCCCCGAGGGCGGACATGGGCTTCTGCTTGGGCCCCGGCACGAAGATGTCCTGTCCGAGAACTCGGCCGCTCTGAGTCTGAGAACTCGGACGTCAGGTCCGACGTCCCCCCAAAAAACCAAAAAAGACCTGCGGGGAAAAAAGGGCGGTCTGAGAGCCAGAACCCCCCCACAAAAAATACATGGCAAAAAATCGGGGGGGGGGGGGGGGTTCCAGGAACCTGCAAACCTGCAAACCTGCAAACCACGGGCGCACAGAAAGAGAAAGGATGACCACTGAATGGCTCAGAAACTGTGGGTTGCTTTTGATTGACGTTTCCGCCTTTGGGGTAGTGGTTTGCAAGCTCGCCCAAAGAAGTATGAGGTCGGGCCGAACTTGGTCTGACCTGCGAACAGGACGATGGTTGGGCTGTCCGTTTTCAGATCCCCTGCGATCTAGTGACTCAGCTTTGGGTTACATGCAACCCCCCACTCAACCCTGAAAGGCTAAAAAAAAGCTAAGGGGCTGGCCCTGAACAAAGCAAGGCTAAGCAAGCTGCTTGAAAGGTCCCTGACGACAGGCAACAGGGTCACGGCTCTTCCCTTGCTTTTGGCTTGGCGTCAGACCGCTGCAGGTCTTTGGTGGTAAAGATTTTATGCACCCTGGCTGGTGCTTCACATAGAGACCTCTTTGTGACTCGCGCATTGTTCTTAGCGGTCGTCTATTTAGGACACACCCACATCTAGATGCTTCAATTGCTCACGCAATGCACTGTGCACAGGTGCTTCTGGCACATGACATGTTTCGAGGAGTCGTTCAAACAAAGAGCACCCTGGCATGGAGAGGGCGGTGGAGGAGACTGTTGTGCCAAAGTTAAGTGCCCTCAGGACTTGATATACCAGCAGGTCAAAGCAGCGTCAATGCGGAGCTGTTGTAACAGTGCACACACATGAAGCATCTTTTGGGAGTTCATGTCGCAGTTCAGTTGCCAAATCAGAAAGAACAATCTCACATGACTCTGCACGTTTCGGTTCTTGATCGACCGCCTGAAGGTCCCGGCACGACGCAAACTTCCACACTTCGACTTGAGTGCGGCGTCAAAGAGCGGGTTGCACCCGGATGATGATATTTGATATGACCTCTTTCCAAGGTGGCCATGGGTCAAAATCCCGTACCCCCAGTGAACATCCCACTCCCCACTAAAAGAAAGCCCAAAATGGGTGGTGCACCTACCCCAAAATGCGATCCCAAAACGGTTTTGACAAGCACAGCCAGGTGACTGCTGGTCGGGGGAACCCAAAGCGCCATGAATTCGAGTGCAGCTCCTTGAGCACGAAGTAGAGCGGGTAATTGTACACTGCCCCATAGTCCCCTGTGGCATAGCCCGCAACGTAGGCCATATCGGTGTTCACCACCTGCGCAGCGCGCAGCGCGGGCCCGTGCCGCTTCCGGCGCCCGTCAGAACCCGTCAGAACCACAAAGCTGTCCGCCGCACGTGTGCCACGCAGAAGATGGAACCTCCCGATGACGAACTCGCTTCTCAAAAAGCCCAGATGCATCAACATGAAACCACTTGGGGAATCCATGGCGGCTTGGAGATCTGGTTGATCAAGGCTCGGACATTTCAATGGGAAGAGAACTTGGTTGCTTTTGACCCCCCTACGAAAAAGTTTAACCTTTTGGGGGTTTAGTGGAAAACCCCTTGATTTCCCAAAAAGTTAAAGTCTGAAGATCCAACCCAATAGCAGTTAAGAGAATGGCACCCACCTTGGGAAACTTGAAGATCTGCTTCCCATCCTGAGGGACGCGACAAGTAGCCAGACAGGTGGGATGGGCGCTGCCAACGACTGCGGCATATGTATGCATGTGCTACATCCAGCAGCAAGTGCTGCATTCCGGCACCTCAAAAGGTGTAATATAAGGGGGAAATCGGTCCTTCAAATGAACTCAAAGCAGGTGTAGGACAGTCATATCGATACTCGAGACCATCCTCAACTGTTTCCTCGGTATGACTTCCTGGACTCTTGATGGTCGAAAGTACGAAGTAGCAGAGCCGGTCTGCGAAAGTCAGCCATGCATCACATGAATCCTACTGTGGATGGACGAAATCCTGCACCACTTTGAAACCATGGGAAACCGTTTGTTTGTTGGTATTTACAGGGAGATCATCATTACAGGGTTTCTTAGGTGCGAAGCGGATTTCGTCCATCCACAGTACCTCGAAGTTTGCTCAGTCTGCCCATAGCGGGTCAGGCCCAGCTTCCTTTACTCCGATGCTATTGGCGCCTCGTAGTAAGCGGGGATCGGCGGGCCCGTCTCTGGGATGTGGTTCAGGAAATTCCTGACGTGCGTTCGCAGGAGCTCGGCAGGACCCTGGGCTTTATGTGCTTCAACGACCTGAGTTCGTTAGTCTCCGAGCCCTTTCTCATGTAAGGTCCTTGTTCAAAAATGAGTTAGCAAGCTAAATGAAGAACGTTTTCCTGAGAACTGGCAATACATATCAACATTAGCCAGAATCTCAAAGACTTGCTGGTGTTAGTAGGAAATGACCCAGGGATTTTGAATGAACCTAGGCATCCGCATAAAGGAAACCATACGGGATGGTTTATCTCGGGGTCATTCCGACTCATTCGCTGCTGAGAACCAGCATGACCAGGCCGAGCCTTTTTGCAACGGCTGCGTGCACGGCACAAAACTATGTCCCATCATTTTGCAGATGTGGCCATAGGTCAAAATCCCGTACCCCCAGTAAACATCCCAATCCCCACTAAAATAAAGCCTAAAAGCCTAAAATGGAGGGTGCACCTACCCCAAAATGCAATCCCAAAACGGTTTTGACAACAGCCATGTCTTCGCGTGGCCTTGGTAAAAGAACCGATTGCTTGTGTGGCTCTGCCTTGCAACCAAAGAAGAGCCAAATTTCGAAGCAGCCAAAGCGGCTTCAAAAGAGTCAACGCTGGGAATGGAGGCATGCATAGCATATCGGGGCGTGTCTTTCATGTCAAGCTGGATAGCTCCAGATTCTAGATGGGAAGTATTCTTCCGCATTGTCAAGTTGTTCCTCGAGCTGTCAGAAGAGCCATGGGTGGGTGTCAAAATCAGGAACCCGTCCAAACACTTGATTTCACGGTGACTTCCGTTCATCATTAAGCCGGCACTATTCGACAATTCATCCGTTGACACAAGTGTCCCCATGAGCAGCCCACCTTCCAATAAGGCAAATCAACTCAGTCCTGTTGATGTGTCGGGCTGCATCAACTCGGATGCCGTCAAAGCCGTACTGATCCACATGGTTGCGCCTTGCCGAGATGTGGGACCACTGGGTGAGGGGGCTGGTCAAGGCTGAAATCGGCAGCAGGATTCCTGAAACGGAGTGCAGAGATCTGCTGTTTGTTTGGACCTTCATTGGAGCCCGAGATCGTTCTATCCCCCAGGCGAGTTGGACGTTGGAATCTTTGTTTCCGGGCAAGTTGTCACTGGCAGAAGGAACCTTCACTGATATTCAGTGGTATCCCAAACCTTAGTTCAAGCTTGTTGTGGCCACACTTAAAGTTGGCTTCTCCTATTCCAACCAAAAGAAAGCCTACCATACTCGATTTGAAGGTACCCTCTTTGAGGCATGGGTCACTATGCCCGGTGCGCTGAGAAGCTCAGCCTTGATACATGAGGAGTCCAGCAGCCAGACTTCCCGTTCAGTGGGGTTCCGTTGCAAGCCCGTCTGCAGCGAAAAGTCTAGGGAAGATAAGAGCGCACCATCAGCTCCGTGCGAGAAAAAAAACCGAGGGAGCATCCCACAGAGGTTGCAGCGAGTGGCTTTTTGCGAGACTTGTTGTGAAGCTTTTCGAGCCAGGCCAATGTAAGCACCAGCCACAAGTAAGGTCTCAACTTGACAAAACCCTGCGGGTGGGTGATTAAAAGGTGCCTGAAACGAACACCAACCTAAACAAACTCACTGCCACCTTGTAATCGGCCTTCATCCCCTCAGGCAAACACACCAACACTTAACGCCTTTCGCCATCTCAATGTTGACCCTCTTTGAATCAACCCACAGCTCAGAAAATACTGGTCTGTTCCCCTCCAAAAGTGGTCTGGTTCCAACCACATTTCACCCAGAATCGGACACCCCATTCATAAACTGGTTGCTTGATTGATATGGGATCAACATTACCTCCCTCCCGCCGTCTTCAGGCCAAGCCACAGCCACTGCATCAGCCCCTGCCACACCACGGGATTCTCGTGGTTGAAGTCGGGCAGGCCGTAGAGCTTGCAATCTCGGCGAGCTTCGTTTTGTGGCTTGCCCAGAAAGGCCTGTGGCTCAGCATATTTGAAACGAAAAGCGTGGGGCTCCCATCTACATGGAACCAAGAGGGGAAGCAAGACATGTTCCATTCATGCCATTTGAAGTGAGGACCCCAATTTTTGGCTTCAAGCTGCTCTTCCCCACAAAAAAATGGCTGGAAACATCCAACCCACCCAGCCCTAGCTGACTCGGATCCGGAGAACTGGGACTCTCCACTTCGCTGCGATCGAAGCTTTCGCCCGCCGGACTCATCCCACACTTGGCTGTGGCTCAAAAGAGTGGTACCAGAATGGCACCCTGATAAATGGAACCAAAGTCTAAAACCCGCGCAACCCCGGCTCTTTCATTTTGAGCCATACTCACTTGGGAGGGAGAAAGTGGAAGATCGGTCTTAGAGTGGCAGCTGGTCGGACGTTCACCAGCTAGGTTGAGCTGCTAGGTTCAGCTTCAGGGGAGGGCTGTTTGAAGACTAGCATGCACCCCCAGCGGATTTCTCGGTTTTCACCTACTTTGTTCTTTCTTTGAGATTCCTTTGAAAGGCCGTCTCTTATTTTTGGCGCCTTCGACCGCATGAACGGACAAACGGATTCATTCAAAAGGTTCAGCCGTTAGCAGCGGTGTGCTTTGGCCATTTTTGCATGATGGACGAAAGCAGCATCAGCTAAAGCACAAACAAACAAACAAACCAACCGACTCAAACAGACAGGCAGACAGGCAGACAGACACAGGCAGACAGACAGACAACCAACAAACAGACAAACAACCAACAAACAGATAGACAGAAAAAAAAAACACAAACAAACAAACAAACAAACACACAAGCAACCAAACAAGCAAGGAATCAAGCAAGCAAGCGTGCGACCGAGCAAGCGAGTGAGGAAGCGATAAAACAAACAAACACACAAAGAAGGAAGAAAGCACAATCAAATTATAGAGAAAGAAGACATAAACAAATAAACAAAACACGCAAACAAACCAACAAACACAAACAAACAATCGATCAATCAATCAAACAAACGCACAAACCAGCAAGCCAACCAACCGACCGACCGACCAACCCACCCACCAACCATTCAACCATTCAACTATTCAACTAACCAACCAACCAACCCACCCAACCAACCCAGGAAGCGAGCAAACAAACGAGCAATTGCGCAAACGAGCACAAATGACACCAACAAACCTAGACACCAAGCAAACAGACAAAGATTCACACACACACAAACACTTAGATTTCAAGCGCTGGTGGACAATTCCGATTCGGCGCAAGATTTGGCTCCAAGATTCTGCAATAATTCTTGAAGCCGTGTCTGGAGATGACTCAGATACTTTTAACCATGGGGTAAAGCAAACAGCAGCGGCGGGAGGAAATCCAAAGGCCTTTGCGTCACAGCAGGTACGTGCAGAACAGCTCAGCCCCTTGTTTTGTGCCTTTGCTTTGGCCGCCCGCTTCCTTGGATCGCATAGAGAAATAAAATGAACGAACGCCATGCGCCTCACACACAGGATGCAAGCCCACACTTGTCGACACCTCAAAACTATGTGGCCAAGAAGAGTCTAAACAAAAAAAACACATGCTAACATCGAGTTTTTCTGTAAAGCTTGTCCACATTGATCTAGGGGAAACTTCCGCATTCTTTTCAGCTATCCTTTTTTTTCAGGAAGCCATCAACAGCGAAAGCTGGTCTTTGAAAAGAACGATGGTTAAAAAGAATGGAAAAGGAATCAAACCCTAGAACAATGCGTTGTTGCTGCAAACTCAAGGAATACCCTACCACCAACTAACCTGGAAGTGCACAACACCCCCTTTTCAACCGGAAAGTCGTCTTTCTACCTGGGCCGCTTTTGGCGCCTCCGGCGACTTATGCGCCCGGTGTCCTGGGGCCCCGGGCGCTCCAGGAAGTACGAGCCGCGCTCGTAGTCCGCGTCGTGGATCAGGCCTCGGACGCTTTCTCGCTTCCCGGGCGCGAAGATGGGCTGCCTTTTTGCTGTTTTTTTTTTTGGGGGGGGGGTTTTGGGCCGAAACAGGCGCGAAAAACGTACCCCATGGAGATGGCTGGTGAATTTTTGGACCATCCCAAGCTTCCCCACATATCTGGGGCCGAGGTTTGACAAGCCGCTAATGTCGCCAACTACAAATAAGACAGGCTATGAAAGATCCCTTCTCATGTTGCCAGGTAATCTGCAAATGTATCCTCTCAGTCGAAGCCTTGTTTGTTCACAGGCTTGCTCCTCTTGCAATGACTTTTTGACTCCACCCCCAAAAGCTGGGGAAGGCGCACCTCCTTTCAACATCTTTCGACCAGTCAGCCATTTTGCCTTGACAGAGCAGGCGCACCCCGTTCTTCGGAACTCATGTGGCGCACCTCGCATCATGAACATAGGTGTCTTTTTGGAAAATAGATGGCCCTGGTAGATGATTGAACCACCAGGTAAACTCAGGCCTTCTTCTTTTTTAAAGCAAACCGCCCAAAAAGGACACCTATCATGAGACGCACTTGAGCCACCGGCTGCAATTGTCCGAGTGGTAATGCTCCGGCTTGTTGAAGGGCTTCAGGATAGACCTCGGGTCCGCAAGCGAGGCAACCGAGAAGGTCAGGATCATGTCAAGTGGACTGTTTTTTGCCATGCACGTCTGCCAAAAAAGTCAAGATCTTCCTGCACCATGGCAAGCATGTTCCACATCTGCTGTGACACATCGGAAAGGTCCGTGTTGCACTTCACACACAGCATGAGAAACCTGAGTCAAGTGAATACACCTTTCAAATGAATGTGAGTGAATATGAATGAGATATATGATAATCTGCTTTGTAAGTCTTATGTTTCCTGCTCTGTCCGCCTTTGATGGCAGTCTTGGGCAGTTTGCATCTATTTAAGGATACAAACCACTGCCAAGCTCAATCCTTCTACTCCTGCTGCCGCCAGATCAAAGGGGACCTTTGAGGTTTGGTTTGTCGATTCCAACCCCCGACGTAATCTAGTGGGTGCCCAGCAAACACATAGCCCAAATTCAAATGATGCAGCTGGTGGCTCCCTTCCGGGAATTGGCGCACGGAAAGGCCGAAATGATCGATTTGGTCGAGGCATATCGAAGCACTCCTAGGTCTTTCAGTAGAGAGATTAGAATACGGGCACCCTTTTCTCTGTGGTCTGTTTTAGTAGGGGAACCCTCCCCCACAAAAGGGTAAAAGGGCACTACTGGGGCACCTAGACTCTGCTGCTTCCACAACAAACTCGCCATGACCGTCAGGAGGCCAAACCTAAATGAGGCTTCTGTCAACTTGCAAAGGCGCAAGTAGCACGGGACTCTGCAACTTCACGCTTCTCTAGGACTTGTCAAATCCTAGTCTAATGTGATCCTTGCAAGGATCATTGGTCATGCTGCCTTTGCCAAAAACCACCTCCACTCAAAATGCCCTATAAAATAACATGCCCTATAATGTTGACCAAACAAATTCCACAGAAAGCACCGTAAACCAATACCCCGAAAGCTGTAGTCATGAACCAATGCTTTGCCATTGCTTGCTACGCTACAATGTCGCAGAGATGGTTCGCTGATAGCTGAAGACAGAACTCAGCATGGATTGTTCCAAGTCTTAAGTGGTTCCGCTCCGCAAGCCCGGGGTGCGTTCGAAAAAAAAAAAAACAACAAAAAAAAACAACAAGCATTCATATACTTCTACTTCCAGCCATGAAAATAGTATCAAACTTGTTCAAAGCTTCAGCGTAGCTCATTGAATTTATCAAGCTACACTGGCACTAAGTTTGGGTTGTGGGCAATATTCCAGTACCCCGGCAAATGGTTGTCAACGTCACCAAGGAACCAATCAGCGGAGGACCATCCCAAGTACTGAACGCAATGGGGTTTTGACGGTTTCAAGAAACCTGCAAGTTTTGCTGCGTGCGAACTTTTGAATGAAAGCTCAACGCAGGCTTTTCGCCCAAAATAGGTAAAGAGGACCCAAGACCGACCTTAAAACTAAACACCTAAAAACAAACACGCGCAAGCAGTTATTGAACGTCTTCAAACAGGCTCCTGATTGACTAGCGGCTGTGTTTGTTTGTTTCTTGCCGTGGTGTGCGCAAGAAACAAACGGCCACAGGTGCCACGTGAACTTAGGCTTCCCGCACGTCCCGGGGATTGCTGGCATTCACCTTCTGGCTGCCTGCGTGGTTCCTCGGTTTCAGAACACAGGGCCCGAGCACGGGAAAAATAGGTATGGGTCAAAATTAAGCCGCCAGGGCACCACAGGTCTTAGTCCAGAGTTCCATTTTGGGGTTTCCCTATTTTTGACCCACAGCCAAATGGCGGTCAAAATGCAGGACCCCTTTTGCAACCCGCTTTCAAGGCAGAATAACATGTCACCGAGGTCCCAAGATTCGCACCGTCGTTTAGACCCCGCAACAATCAGGTTCACATGATACATTTGGTGGATCACCGTAACGGTGTGCTAGCAAGTTCACGGCTGTTTGTCTGGGCTGCCCTCAGATCCCGTGCCAAAAGTTTAACTTTTGGTGGGATAACTGGAAACTACTACTAACCGGATGGCCTTCGGGAGGCGCCAAGTGGGACCTGAGTGTCCTATTGCCAGCACGAGTCGAGTTCAAAGAAATGAGCCAAGTCTCATGTTCACATCCACAATGACCTTCATCTTCCGCTCGTGCAGCAGAATCACCAGCTGCCGCACATCTTCCTGACGATATCACCGCATGCAACAACAAATTGCCCCACCCAACTCCCCCCACTTCCCCTCCCGGCGCAAACAAAATCAGAGATGCCCTGGCAGTGTTGTCTGTTGCTCCCCATGCTTTCAAGTGATTTCCTTTCAAACTTTGCTTGGTGTAGTTCCTGACGTCTTCATGCGGACAGAACTCACATGGATAACATGTCAGGCGACATCAAGGAGCAAAAACAAGCATGAACCAGAACACACACACACACACATGATTGCTTTTCGCGCCCGAGCGTGTACAGCACTATCCTACTAGCCCCTCACTTGCCAGCCGTCCTCCGTGCCATAGGCAGGGTTGACCTTGTTCAGGTCCTTGGTCCAGTAGCCGTGGTAGCCGTGCGGCATCTGGCCAAAGGTCGGGTTCCGGTGCTTCATGGGGGCTTGGCCCTCTGATGGTCCTCTGCGCATATTTTTCTGATTTCCAATAGGGTCTATATGGTGGCAGTAGAACAGCAGCGGCATCCTGGGGTGTTTTCCACAAGTCCTATGGGAGCATAAGATACTAGGGTCTATGGTTCCACAGCTTGACTTGCAACAATTTCTATGCGGGATGGTGTACTTTTATTGCTGTGTACAGCTTCAGTACTATCTTGAACGATTCCCTCAGCTCCTCAATCATGCCCGGCCCATCCCTGGTGATGTCGAACATTACCTTGCCCCGCCATACCATCAATGGGCTGAGTCAATATGACATGCTGAAACAACGACCGACTATGTTCTAACATCTTCATTAAATCTTTAAGCGACCATCCTCTCATCCAAATCGTAAACACACCTTTCAATCGAACAAGGATCCTCTCCATCTCCTTGGACTGCTGGCCATGTGCACACTGAGCCGATGCCAGCTGAACAGGGACCCGTCTTGAGTCACTCAGCATGTTGAAACCGATGGCCTTGCTCTGGGCACCTAAGCAAAGCTTCACTTTGAAGATGCTGAACCCTTGTCATTTGCAGCTTAACGTATTGTTGAACCACATGCCTCTTCGTTCGTTCTCAATGGACGAATGGCAACAGCGTCACATCCTTAGGACCGGCCCCCGTGTTGCTTCTTTAATTGGCTACAAAAGTTCATAGTAGACCCTCGCTCAAGCCATTCTTACCCTGACTAAAGGTCTCATGAATGGCAGGCCACCAGGACATTCATTGGCCGTTCTGCGGCCTTTTTGGGCAGTGCTCAACCAGCTCCTCCAGTAAAGAGGTTAGAACAAGGGTACATTTTTTTCTGTAGTCTAATTCAGTACGGGAACCCAAAATCCCAACCAAAAGGGGTGAGAAAGGGCACTGGGGGACCTAGTCAAAGAACAGGACGTCCTAAGTGGCCGAAATGCGGCCGCGCCTGGTCCACCACAGGGGACAAGACCAGGCCGTCCACGCCCAGCTCCTGACGGGCCATAGCCATTCGCCGCCATGCAAGCGAAGTGGGTGGCTCGTCTTTTCTTTTTTTTGGACACGGGGGGCGTTTTCCCGCTTTGGGCTGAAGCG